TATTCCCGCCCGCGCCGGTCAGATCGAAGAAACGCAGCCGCGTCTCGCGCAACGAGTCACAGTTTTACGCGTCATCGGATTAATAAATATTTAGTCATTTTAATAACAGCGCCGCCGGCAGCGGGAGATAGTCGCAGAGGCGGTATACATTCCGCCGATACGATTATTGATCTCCTCGAGGGGGCGGAGGAGAGTCCGCGAAAATCCGAAACGGCCGAGCGAAGTTTAATGGAAACCTGAAGTTTGACAATGTATTAAATATCCCGTTCTCCGGCCGCTAAGATCGAGCGATTTGATAATTCCGATGTGCCTAATTTCCCCGATAAAAGAAGATGTCTAAAAACGGCACGGTCGATTAGAAACTACCGTCACGAAATTCCGCCCAATTTATATACGAATTCACGATGTCGGGCATCTCGTGGAAATATCATTTGCCGGAATTACCGTTGCCGCGCCTTTTTTTCCCTCTTTTTTCTTCTCCCTCCCCCGTTTTTTTATTCTTTCGTCAGTTGCTACGGTTTCACGCTCGATAAAACTTTCAGCGATCGAATTCAGCTTTCGCCTTTGGCGGAGCGCGGTGACAGCAATGCAAAAAGTCTGCGTTAGCGATAATTGTTGCGACAAAACTGTTCAACCTCGACGACGATCGTTCGTCAAATCCATGCTCGTCCGAGAAAAATGTGCTTCTCAATATTTGCTCGAGAGACAATTATGACAACGACTACAGCCCTCGCGTATGCGCTCGCTTCGCTTTTGTGATTTCCGGGGAGAAAACACGCGTGCGATCGTGAGGATCATGAGGTTTGCCGGAATCAAAGGGTCTCGCGCGTCATCGATTAAACAAATCGCCCCTAAGCGTCCGAGGGACACGTGCCTATGTTTACGATGTGCGCGATATGTTTACCGTACACCTGCATCCTTCTTTCGGAAGCGTACGGAATCAAGCTCGCGCGCGGGGAGCAAAACTCCGCGCGCGCGTGTTGCGTTCGCACGCGTGCGATTTTTCGTGCGCGATCGTAATTGGCGCGTCGCGAGCGATTATACGCCCCGTCGTTGCGAATAAAATGTACAATCTCCGCGCGTAATACAAACGCGCACACGATCATCATCATCATCATCAGCCTCTGTCGCCGAATCGATGCTTGATTTACGGATATAATAATACGCAATCATCTGGAAGACATTCATTACGTAAATCGCGCGAATACGGGAGTCGCTTGATGCGACGTCTCAAGCGATTTTATATGTATATCGCGAAGGGCAACAATATACGCGTTAGTAAATAGCCTCTCTTTCTCCGCCGCTGCTCCGATGGCGCAAAGCCATCGGGGTAGCGCATGCCCGAGCTTTTCGCGTGAAAGGCGGACCCGCGGAGCTTTTCATCGACCAATGTGCCTTCGTGGGTGGCACACCGCGTCCTGCGCGACTTGCGCTCTCGGCCGCTTCCCTGTGAACGGCCATTCCATAGGACGAAATCCCATAATTCATCCCCGCGGTGTTCAACCATCACCGATAAGCCCGGCGCGATCGAACTCGACTTTCATTATCGTTTTATTTAAGCTCGCCCGCGAACGTGCGCCGCGCGCGCGTTCGAAATAAATTTTAGGTCGCGATCGATGCGACTCAAACGAGACCCTCGTTTTCATAGCGAGAGCGAGAGAGAGAGAGAGAGAGAGAGAGAGAGAGAGAGAGAGAGAGCGAGTTACACAGAGAGAGGAGAGAAATAATCGCAATCGTGCGGTCCGACTCTCCGCAGCAAAGCTCGAGTCTCCATGATTTTGTCCGCTCTTCTGCTCCCTTTTTTCCCTTCAAAACTCGCAGCAGATCGAAACATTCGCCGGATAGTCGCGACGCAAACGTCGCGAAAAGCTCGCGCGTCGCCGGTTCGCCGAAGCGTAAGTAGTAAGTAGTAAATTGCTTCTCTCCTGACGACACCGTTTGTTGCAATTTGCGCCCGCTATTATTATATCGAGCGCAATAAACTACAACTTGACGCGCGCACCATTCGCCGTTATTTATAAACGCGTCGGAGGAAGGTGCCGAGCTGTGTCGAGACACCGTCTGTGCCGTCATGACGACTCAATATCCACGATTTCGTATTTTTTCCCCGATAAGACGGCGAACGAGATAAAATGCACGCCGCCGCGCGCGACTCGGAAAAGGGAAAAAACATTTGCACGACCGACGACCGTCGAATTGGCGTGTGAATGTGAAATTTCTAACTTGCGGAACCGAACCACTATCTCGCGCATACGATCGAGATTAATCAATTATCACCGTGCAACGATAATTAGCGGCTACGTTTCGTCATACATGCGCGCGCGCGCGCGCTAGCGAGCGCGACGTGTACGTCTCGCCGGCTCGAGGAAAGAATGAAGAAAGGAAGGAAAGAACAGCCGAATCGTCTCAAAAGGCACGAGTGATTCCGCGTCATTCCACGTTCCACATCTCTCTCTCGTCAATGACGCGTACGAGGGGTAAAGGCGAGCGCGTGTCGCGTGTGCACGTAACGCACCGCCATTAAGTCATTTTATGTCGCGCGTTGCCGTAGTAACTCGCTTCGTCGAATAAATTTCATCGTTCTTCGTCGTGGCCAAACGACGCGTCACTCTCGCGGGCGGAAAACCCGAGGAAATAAAGAGACACTCGGCGCGTCGGGAAGATGTTCGCGCGGCGGCGTGAAAGGAGCAGAGCTGAAAAGGTGGCCCTCCTCTCGATCGAGCAGAGAACGATTAAAAGAACTGACGCCGCCGGCGATGGAACGAACAGCGGCGATGAAGACGAAAAAAAGTGAATGCACAGTAGCGCGGGCGTCCGTTGTCCGGTACGGGTTACCATGAATTATCGAGTCATTAATTCCAAATAAACGGAAAAGCACGTTCACCATGCGACTTTCACTGTCGGTCCGCGGCGGAGAGAACGAACGGTGTGGAATCGTCGGCAGCGATGGCCGCGACGCGATGTGGATTTCGCGCGGCTGTGTCTGGCCAGTCGCAGGGTACAGGAGAACGAACGAGTCTCTTTTATTCCCTCCCCCCCTCCCACTCCCTCTTTATTTAATTGGAATGGCCGAATAATTGCCGAAGCATCGCGGCGCGACCGCCGTCGCGCCGTGGGCTTCTTATTCTTCGCTTCCGTCTCGTCCTCTCCGTTCTTCGACGTCGACGAGAGTCGCCGAGCGTTCATCTCCAAGATCGGTGCGGTGGTGTTCACGCCGCAACCTCTGACCTACATAAGGAACGCCACACGCCGCACTCGTTACAGGTGAACGCACTCTCGGCGTGGAACACCGAAGTAAATCCCGAGTGCGCGCATCACGTAAATGCATGCCGGGGCCGGCGGGGGGGGGGAGGGGGGAAGAGAAGCGCACTCGGGGCACGTCGAAGGCTTTTCTTTTTTCCTTCCTCTCTTCCTTTCCTTTCGCTGAGTTCCCCCGTCGTCGGTTTCGTATTCCACGACAATCGTCGTGCAAACGACGACACCGGCGCCGAGCCGAGGCCCCCCGTGGAGGCCCCGCCTCGGAGAAGACGAGGAAGCAGAAGAAGGAACAGCGGCCGCCGCGCGATCGCGACAGGACGCGGCGATTCGCGAGCTGGCGCGAAGCGTCCGACTAAGAAGCGCGCGTATGTAACGAGCAACAACGCGAAGACGATTTTCCGCGACGGTGGTGGGGAGGACCGCAGTCAAGGCAAAAGTAGGATAAGTGTATCCACGTAAGCGCGTGACTCTCTTTTAAGGACCTCTCTCTCTCTCTCTCTCAACAGCCTGCCGCTTGCGCGACCAGAGGACCAGAGGAAGAGCCTCTCGTCGCGTTTCGCAGCGACAACGACAACGACGACGACGACGACGACGACGGCGGGAGATTCTAGCGCGTTGACGTTTCCTGCGAGCATCGAAGTCGCGATCGACGCGCGTCGTCCCGTCGCCGATCGGTGCTTTCTATCACCGGTTATATCGACTTCCTAACAGGATCACTCGGACGCGTCGCTCCGAACGCGAGCGTTATTTTACGATCCCGTGTGCGCAACACGGTTAACAGCGCCGCTGGTTACCGTCGCATGCCGGATACCGGAAGCCAGCCGACGGTCTCGAACAAATATCCACCGTGGAATCTCGAGACCGTAGCAAACGGAACGACGAGTCGCTATGGCGATCCTGAAGCGACGTGACGACGACCGTGTCGCGTCGTTTCGCATTTGCGAATTTCACGAATCCGTCGCTGCCGATCTCTCGACGTCGTCTCACCGCGGAGCGACTCGCGCGCTATTCGCTCGTTCACGCGTCGAAAGGAGACGAAAACGCGCGTATCCGGTGCAGGTTTAAGGTCAACGCACGCACGCACGCACGCACGCACGCACCGCTTCGTCCGTCGCTACCGAAAGCAGGAGAGAACAAGCGAACATAGTGCGCGCGCGACACAATGTACACCGTGCTCGCCACGATAACGGTGTTGCGCGATGGTGTCAAATTCGCGACATTCCATCGCTGTCCTTCCACCGCCGCTCTTTGTCAAACACGCTCTGTTATCACGCTCCTCTTAATTCGCGCTCATTTATTATTACTAATGACGTCGCGAGCGCCGGAGGATACGGTATTTACTGTTAGGCGACACGATTAAAGGCGCGAAATGGGGGACCGAGCCCGTTACTCGCGTTATGCAAACGCACGTTCGATACGATAGACGAAAAAATTGCGGGCGATCGAGCTAGCGACGCGGTGAAAGACGGGGAGAAAGAAGGAGAACGAGCGTGCGAGCGAGCTAGAGAAAGAGAGTAGGAAAGACAGAGAAGGAGAGGGAGAGGCAGAGAGAGAGAGAGAGAGAGAGAGAGAGAGAGAGAGAGAGAGAGAGAGAGAGAGAGAGAGAGAGAGAGAGAGAGAGAGAAAGAGCAAGAGCGAAAGAGAAATGACGTTGTGAACGGCAAATTCCGATAGTTACAAATGTAGAGAGAGGTTCGCATCTCCGAAAAAGATAGCAAGGATGGAGAAAGGAAAATACTCACCGAGAATCGCCTGGAGGGTCTGCTCGTCCCCGTCCCCGATGACGTCCATGTCGGCGATGCGCGTCGAAGCCCGTTGCCGTTGTTCCGGGCCCGATCAACGGGCCCCATTCCGTGCTCGGGCCGCGAAGTTTCGCTCCGCGACGTCCCACATAGCACGCACAGAGACACGTCCTGCCGTGATCCTCGCTGCTCCGTTGTATTTTCGCTCGCCGACGTATTCTCGCGCTGCGCGCTCCTTTCGCCTCACTTCCTATCTCGCGCCTCCTCGCGCGATCTACGGACGACTAGCGACTAAGGCGACCACTACCGAGCGGGTGGCGATGGGTATCTCTCGCGGCGAACTTCACAGCACCGTCGCGTTTCGCGCGGCTCCAGGAGAACGCGCATACACACGCTCGCTTCCGCTTCTTCTCTCTCTCTCTCTCTCTCTCTCTCTCTCTCTTCTCTCTCTCTCTCTCTCTCTCTCCTCTCTGTCTCCACTCGCCCTTTCTCTGTCTCTTTTTCTTTCTCCGCGACGCGTGTGAAACGTAGATCTATCGCTAATAGCACGAGATCGCTCCTGCCAACAGTCGGACGGATGGACTATCCCACGAGTAGCTCGAGTCGTGGTAATCCCGTGCCGCGAACTAAATCCGAGCCTCGCTGCCGATACCACACACAATACGTATACCGACACACAATACACACACTACGTTTGCTTGCGCACAACTCGACGTCGAGTTAGCACACACACACACACGCGCGCGCGAGCTCGCCTCCACCCGTGCGTGTTCTCCACGGCGGAACGAGGAGAACGCACTGGTAATCACGTGATCCCGGTCAATTCCGTTTGAAAGTCGCGCGCGAGAGATGCGCGCGGAGACGCACGAGGGCGCTGCGTTTCTTCCGGAAAAGTTGAATATCGTATTCATCGCGTTCATTTCGAAATGGAGAATACGCATGATACCGCGATTCCTTTCGGTCGGTCTGTCTATCAACAGCGAAGGATGACGAACCCATTGTGACGTGCCATTGGGAAGAAGAAGCGTTTCGCCAGTGAGATGATTCGATGGCTCGGCTGGAAGTGAGGACGCGAGATTGCGTCTTCCAGGAAGCGAAGTGGTACGCTAGGACGCGAGATGCCGACTTTGCTAACGGTTTTCTCGACGAAAGACGGAGACCTCTTCGAGAATTGCTTCATCTTCGATATTCGGTGAGTGACTTTCCTCAAGAGAAATGCGAAACCATTGTGTATAAGTCTGTTAGAAGTTTCGTCCATCTATCGTATACGTTAGTTATTTTGGTGCAACAATGGCCGACATCACATCCGCGACAAACGATGCGATGTTTTTAAACTGTGATCTTGGTAAATTCTGGAAACCATAATTCCCCCTCTCTGGTCTTTTATATCTTATGCGAATCTTTTCGAATGATTTTCAAGTCGGCAAACTTGTGGGCGTATTATGAACCTGACATGTATGCACGGATACTATAAACATTTATTACATCACATAAGTACAATTGAACACCGAGGGGTTACTAAATTATTGTTATTATTACTATTATTATTATCGTTATTATTATTGTTGTATTGTGTTGCCTATTGATACATTTTTACTAAGTCACTTGCGGCTTTGCGCATTTATAAATAATATATATTTTTATCTTACACAAATACATATTCTCTTAAATATATATATATATATATTTTTTTTTCTCTCTGTACAATAAATCTATTTACATGGTATATGCATGTACATACATATATAGACACACAGGTATGCACACAGTTGCATATATATGCATGTATATATAGTTGTATATGTGTCTCGAGGCATTTTACCAATAATTCGAATCAATAACAAGCGATGCGAGTTGTCTAGATATATCGAAAAAAATCCCATTTTCCTTGCAGCACATACCTAACTGTTTCATTATACATTTGTTGTATACACACGAAAGCCAGATACACACTTTATACTCTTGTTTAATTGTTAGATTCGAGTTTATTGAAGATAAGTCGTGTTGCTGGACCACAAACTGGACCACAAAAACAACGAGCTAGTTGCTAGCATTTTAAAATGCATACAACATATACACCATAGATTTAGGTGTTATCCGAGTTTACACTATCGAGAACTTTGGTGTTGATTATTATTCTACTAGCTAAGAAGTTGTATTTGGAAAGTACTAGCGGCCAAATGATTAGTGTTCCTTCGACCAACAGAATGCTTACGGTGTAATTATCATTTATTGCCATTCACAAATTCGCGATAATGATTCAAAAAGATCATATTAAATCACTAAAACATGTGTCGCGGATATCAATTCTTCAAGAAAACAATTTTCAAAGTTTAAGTATCAAAAGCAATGACATAAATTTGTACATAAAACATACTTCAAAGTCGCGTTTTTTCAAGTTTATATAAATATCTACTTACATTGTAATATGCAATGTTTTTCTTTTCATTTATATTAATCAGTAATTGAAATCAACGAATTAAATATATCTCTGTTTGTAAAATACAAGGCAAGGATTACATTATAAATTTTTAGTTGCCTTATAATACATTTTTTCCAAATCGAGTGAATATACTTCTAACTGCTACAGGGATTCCATTCTTTTTTATCGTTAAATTGATTTATAATCTAAATAATTATTATATATTGTACTACCCGTGTTCAGTCTTAGTTGGTGAATTAAATAAAAGTCGTAAAAATCATAGAGAGATACTTGAAAATCAAATAGGAACTGGAAATAGGACAGTATCTAGTCGATCCACTGGGTCCCATAAATTAGTAATTGTTTCAACTGTTACTCGTCACGATTTCACACATTTAACTATATTCCATTAAAGGTAGTAATTACAATTAACTTGCTCGTTAAAGCTCATCGTGCACGTCGGCCTGGCAAATTTTGTCACATTTTACTCCGTCGTGACGCTAAAAGCGAAGAATCTCGCGTTACCTCGGTTGTTGAAATCGCGATAATGTTCTCAATTATCATATCATCTGTGTATCTCAGAGAGTGTTCATCAAGCTTTATCAGCTATTTCGTAGTACACACGAGGAATGTACGGATAATCAGATCTCAAGTCCCAGTAATTGCTGTTTTAAGTAGAAATCTCACGATTCGTAATCGTGAGTACGTTATCGCCGCGTCCGAGGATTATTTTTAATTAATTTAGAAACTTATAAAATAATCTCCTGTGTGTCCCTCGAGCAGAGAGCGTACGTATCGTACGATTTCATATCATATCGCGCGCTACTATACACGAAAAATAACATCCTCGTTTAGACTATTTTATGATGCAGTTTTAAAAAGCACCTGCTTAGAAAATTGCGCTCCAACGGTGTGTGAATCCTCTCGTTCTCCTTTTGAGCTCTGCATGCGATATTAATTGTCAACGATTTGTCATGGCAGTAATAAATGGCAGCATATTTAAACGAGTCTCTTAACTCGTCCGAATATTGAGATAAATGGGACCGCCGGTTCACACAGGCTGACGTTGAGATTCATTAGAAGTGAAACACTCTTGCGCGGCAGACACGTATGCACACCTGGACGAAAGTGACGTTCTCGCGAGCGATAGTGAATTCTCTTTTGTGAAAAGAGAAAGAGTGAAACGTTCCTTAGAAGATCCATTCAGACGCTGCTCGTCGAAATCGACGGATTGCTATCTAACGTCTGCTCAAACAGATAAAGTGCTCTGTGAACAAATTCATATTGTTCAGCTGTTTGCACCATGCCACCTCTGTCGTATCTGGAAGATCAAAGGTACTTCTTGTTGTATACATGTAAAATATATATACAGTAGAAGTAGAAGCTTAACTGTCTTACCTCATCTGACACAGGATACCCAACACATCGACGTTCCCATTTCTTGCAAGTTGAATCATTCCTATGGCTAACGCTATGAAACAACCGGTGCGTCCGATACCTGCGCTGCAGTGGACGACGATTGGCCCTGGCAAGGAGTTCACTTCCGCCGCCATACTAACGAGCGCATCTGCAGCTGGAGGTACAGCATGGTCTGGCCATGAGTCATACCTGATTGATTCATTTCAGTCATTGAGGTAGTAGAGCACGGAAATAGTGATCGATAAGGGCGGTGTACCGTGAAGATTTTCACGGAGTAGTTGATTAGTCACAGTCATGAGTAACAAGTAGCTAGCTTCATTACCAGTAATGCTGCAAATGTCGCTTCTCTCCTTCGTGCCTGATCTCTATGGTTCTGACGGTGTAGCCGTCTCTCGTATCGATATAGCTGACGATGACGGTGAAAGGTCCCGCTTGTATACGACTGTTCACTTCAAATGGAAAATAGGCGTCACACTTCGCTTTAGACGCCTCGTGCAATCTAGTGATCATGACGACTGCCGGCACTTTTTCCGCCCAAATCATCCTCCAGAAGTCTGCTATTGTGTGAGCTAGTGGTCCCTGTGTCGCAATGTATCTAGCATCCTCACCGTCGTATCCCTATAATTTATTAATTTCTTTTTATCTTCTATTCTTAAATCAAGGAGACACTTGGCGATTTCTCGTTATTTGCATACTCGAATATAGTTGGCGTTTATATAACCGGCGAGAGGATCGTCGGAGAAGCCCGGCAAAATCACTCTCGACTGAGGATTCGGCAAGACGGAGCAGTATCGATTCTTCACCCCCGAGCCGCAAATGTCCACCTTTCCCGGCAGGTTCAGCGGCACCTCCCAGAATTCTTTATGCAAAGCCGTCTGATCGCTGACTGCTCTCTTCAACTGGGCTCTCGACAGCACATTTCCCGCGCTCAATAAAAATTCCTCCGCTGTACACTCTCGTGTGGGAGTGACCATGTGGGGTGGACTCTCCGGAGTCGGCGTTAATCCTATAGTTAAACTTGTGCTCGAACCCCGTCGTTCTATCAATTTCTTTGGTTTTATACGGATTGGATCCGTTCTGCGTTCCGTTGTCGCCACGGACGTTATCTATTTCACAACAGAAGGCTTGAATTCTCATCGAAGTTTTCCAATATTATCTAACATAAAACAGATCGAGATGGATTTACCTCCGATAAACCAGACGTTTGAGGGATCGGTTGTATCGGATGCGCGGGTGCAGGCGGCTTTGCCTCGTGAACCCATTCGGCCTCAACGGGTCCTTTCGTGTCTTTAGCTGACTTGTCTGGTGGGCAGCATGTGGCACATTCCTCTACCAGGCCTTGCCGATCGCCATCCTCGGTATCTTTTTCACGCGACATTTGTTTCCGCAGCCATAACAGGATCTATCGGACAATTCTCGTTACAAACTACATAATTGTGCGGTCGATCGAATGATTCATATTGCTGAAGTGACTCAAGCGTCAGACCTGGCTGAAGTCTTTGAAAGTTATTTGATACAGAAAAGAGACTGGAAATGAAGCCTCTGTAATCTTGTCTTGTAATTTTTCTTCTAGAAATAATTCTTCTGAAACAATTGATTGCTTACCAGGAATGTAAAAAGAATAGTGCCAGTGATGGCACAGAGCGCTACAAAGAGAGGCAATTGCCAATCTACCCATGATAAAGTCGTCCTGGAATGTACTTCCTGATCTGTTTGAGTACTGAATTGTGCCACTTGCAGATCCATTCCAGCATCATCTGTCATGGACTGCCGGATCCTACGCAGAGAAGTGAGAAAGGAATTTTCGTTATTTTGAAGGATATCACCAAACTGAAATTACTTTTAACATCACCGAATATAAATGATATACACAAGTCTTACCTGTGATAAGATCTCGCAGGCATTCCTTTTGTAGATGGCAATAAGGAGTTTGATGCCACTGTGTCCTTATGCCACTTCTGTTTGGATATCGTGTACAGTTTCTCTAGAAGATTTATATTATCGCCATTGTTGATGGTTGTACGGTAATAATTCGCATCATCCGCATAATGGTAAGTCAAGGAAACGCTTGTACCATCTGTAATATATAAGAACCGTACTGAAATTGCACGCCAAGTATGACAGACTGGGAGAGACGATATCACAATACCAAAGAGCATCGCACTTATCAGTATTGCGCAAAATTTTGCAAGCGTATAAAACATCGCATATATTTCAGTCGGGTGAGCAAAGTAACAAGAATACTCATTCGATCGCTCCTCTTATCCGCCCGTGGAAATTTGATTACAACGAACACGATGTTTCGCAGCTGACAATACAGAGACGTGGTCGACGTGAAGCGTCGTACAATGAGAAAAACGTCACATTCTACCATGAAGAATCGCCCGAACGGGAAATAAATAACTCGTCAATTTTATGAACGAGACAGCAGAAGAAGGAAATCACGCGGAGTGGAGTAGTAGGGAATCGAGAATAGGGGGACGAGAAGAAGAGAAAGAGGAGGAGGAGGATATAGACCGATGCAACGGTTCGCCAATGGGACTCGAGACAGATGCGGATGAATAGAATCATCGATTGTTAGAGCAGTGAGTGTCGTGCAACACGTACACATGCGATCCACTCATACACACACACACACACACAGTCACATGCGTCGTCATGGTCGTCGTCGTCGTCATCGTCGTTATCATTATCGTTGTCGTAGTTACGCTTTATCACAAAGTCATAGCGTCGCGGATAGAGTACATCCTGTTTTTCTAACACCGATGCAGCAACAGCTCAGCCACGGGCGATGCTCCTCGAATGATATTCGCGGTCGATGTTAGGAGGTTATTCGCTCGCGTGTTTGATCGATACCTTTCGCCAACAGCACGTACGCTAATATCGTGAGCACGGTGTGATTGACAGTGACGTGCGGCCTACGAGCTCGATGATTCGAAAATAGCGGTTGCGTGTACGTTGGCACCGCCATATTGGTGGAGTCGAGACGCTAACACACTCGCCGTCGTCGCCGTACCCGCGCAAACTCCTTGTCGGAATCGCACTCTTGGCTGTCTCTTTCTCTGTGTCTCTCTCTCTCCCTCTCTCTCTCTCTCTCTCTCTCTCTCTCTCTCTCTCTCTCTCAATCTCTCCCTCTCTTCCTTTCTCGCTCCCCCGCTCTCTCTGGAAGAGGTGCTTCGCTTCTCCGTGTTGCGCGCCTTGACCTGACGCTTCGGTTCTATTCGTAGTGCACGACCGGCTCGACCTCGCGCCCGCGGTAGTAGTACGCGGGAGTAAGAAGTGACAGCCAATCGGGAGCACGGCGGATCTCGCCGACACGTCACCGCCGGCCAACCGTCGCTCGAACCGCAAACGCCCGTATCGTGTGCCCGGCGGGAGGGAGTCGGCGTGAATGAAAGCGAAGCACGTGCGATTAATGACAGTAATGTACATTCGGAATCGAGTTTTGCGTTTCTCGCGTACCGCGGAATGCACGGCTGGATTGCGCGAGCGCTCTCGTTGCCGCGACGTGTGCGAATGCAAACGTGTCGATCGCCACGATATAGTAGGATGACTTGATGAGAAAGTTATGATTAGATAGATCATCGTCTCACTGTCGTGTCGGACGAGTCGCCTAAGCGCGGTAAACGAACACTACATACGGTCTTACGTCTCGCAAACTTTCTCGCGAATCACTCGCTCGGGTATCAGTGGGTATTACCGTGCAAAATAGCGTCCTCGCACCGGTTCATGGTCGTACTCGGTTCGAGAAATTTTGTGATACTCTCCAATGTGGTACTCTCCAAATGGTTGCGAGCTCCTCCCTGAAATCGTAGTTTCGTCGCTTTTGGTTATTCCCCCACCCCCTTTCCAATTAATGAGCGAATGGGAGATCAGGAGACCGAGATGAAAATCAACGGCATTTTTGTCCGCTCTCTCTTTCTCGAGTGTCGATGTGCACGACGCGGCCTCGACATCCACGAATATCTCCCGCGGCGCATCTTACGTACATTCTCGAGAATATAGCGATGATTCACGAGACCGGATGTCCGTATTTGCTGCTCGTGTTTATTTGAACGAGCACATTCGCGTTACGATAGCCAAGTAAAATTGTATGCGCTTTATCTTCGCGTTTCTTCAGCGCGATGCTTTTATGCGCGATGAAATTACGAGCGAAGCTTTATATGAATTTACATAAACCTCGATTCAACATGTCGACGACTATTCGTCTTTTTTCTTTTTTATCGGCGACAAACTTGTCTTATACACGGCGTTTACCGATGACTACATCGCGCAACAATGGCAACCGGCGATCATTGTTGCGGCAGCTAAAAAATCAATAATCAGCCTGCCGGAACGTGAATGTTTGACTCTCCAGTGCCACGATTTAACACTAACGCGAATAAATCGTCACATAGTTATTTATCGAGTTGTTGAAGTATGTCATACACATCTCCTCCCGACGGACTTAGTCGAACGGAAGACGTTTAAATATCTCTACCTGTACAAAATCCTTCGAATTATTTTTGGCGTAAAAGAGAATCTAAGAGAGAATCAGTCGATCAGGTAGCTGATCATTTTGTCTTACGTGTCTGCGATTTGTTGCGCGCAAGAGGAAAAGTAATTCCAACACAAATGCAAACAATATGCGACGACGCGTCTCGTAAACGACGGACGAAAAACTCGTGCGAATGTTAGAGCCTCCACTCTGCCGACTGACTTGATTCCCATTCATCCTTTCACAGGAAGCTCGTGAGCTTTCGTGGGGCGCACGCATCCAGGAATATACGCACTTGCGTAAAATCCCTCGTCGATGATTGGCCGAAGGAGGGAGACTCAAGTGATCGTGAAGGATAAGAACTTGAGAAACAGTCTTTCGTCCTACTAATGATCGACATGCGATGAATACATAATCGAAGAGGATAGACATATAATCAGATGAAAGATCACAAAAAAAGCGTCTTCGCTTCGGTAAGCATCTAAAACGTATATTTTGTGCATATTTCACAATCAATAAAATATTTGCACACCTCGTTCTTTCTAAACTGAATTTACGTGCGAGCGAAATATAACATGAGCGCGCTCTCTTATGGGAAAATGCACCGTTTTAACTCGTATCGATGTATTAATATACCGGATAAAATTGTAGCTTTTTTTCTGGTTTTGTTTAAAATTATCTAAAATAGAGACGGGGTGTGCAAACGCTTTTATCTTACACCGCTGTACGCGTGCACGTTAATTGCACGCAATTATATGCGAGGAGGAGGAGCTGTTGAATCGGTTCAGAGTTCAAAGTCTCTCGCTGTAAACCATGACGTGGGGGAAAAAAAAGTGCCGATTTGCATCTAGGATCATACACAATTGAGTTTGCAACTTACTACTGCAAATATACGGAGACAGATAGATCGAGTCGCGAAAATCGTTCCTAGTGGTTTATAAATTGTCCGTACGAATGTACTTCACGTCGACGTGTACGATCAGTGTGAATAACACGATTCACACGCTTTCCATTTATATCGAGGATGTAAAAATATACAGTTGCTCTAATTGAATAGACGCTACGAGCATGAATAATTCGACTACTCATGAAAAGTTGCTCCCCGAAGAGTCGTACGACATATGATATGTCGTATGATCTTCAGTACCTGTAACTCTTCATAACGAATTAAGACATTAAGCAAACGTAACGAAACCTTTCCAGACGACGCTGCCGAGACATAGCCGTGCTCAGTCTGACTGATCGTTAAACGCTCTATCAGGATATTTGCCACAATTATTGTATACCTTGCGGAGATGAGGACGCGAAGTAAGAGACGGCCCTTTCCCTTCTCTCGAGCCTTGTCACGTGCTAAGACGTCGTCGGGATCGTCCGCATCACCCTGTGCACATCGGTGTCGAGGACGACGGCAACGTTCCGCAGGTAACTCGCGCGATGTCGGGCACTCGCATCGGACGCATCTGAATGGCGTCTGAACGGATTGCAAAATGACGGCCAACTGCATTCACCTCTTTCGCTGGCCGCGAAGGGGTGGCGAGGTGGAGTGTGCAGACGCGCGCATTCGTGACACGGATACGCGGATCCGACCCACCCTCCCTCTGGCACGGTACGTGGCCTCGCTTTACCGACCCTTGTACGCGGCATCCTAGGGCGATACCGCCAATGGTGGATGACATTGTTGAGAATAGAAGAGTATCAGCGTTGGGGTTGCTCTTGGTAGTTTCTCCGACCGAGTTTCCGTCTGTCATGATGGTAATCTACAGCTAATGTAGAATAATTGTGCAATTAGAAATGATCTATCAACGAGATCAATCGGAGGCACGTGTAAATTTTTTCGTTATAACGAAAGACGACGGCTATTATGTGCTCTCAGCACCCTTGACGCGCAACATAATCGTACCTTCGCGACAGAATGAATGGAGGGAGCAACACTGTTTCCCCTCTCCGTCGCCACTCACGCATAGCTTCTTCATTGTACGTTCAAGCTCGTTATTGTCATTTTTCTATAAACTCTCTTTGAACATCGACCGTGATCAAATAGAAAAAAGGAGAAAGGTAGACATACAGGGTGTAGTGGAGTTTAGCTAAGAGATAGCAGACAAGAGGCGACGTTGAATGAGAACTTGGAACGTAGGTCGACGAGAGGGTGCAGGGAGGGAAATAAACCGGCCTTCGCCGGGAAGGGTGAAGAAAGGGGATAGAATGTAGGCTAGTCTCGTCGGCGAACAGCGTCCCCAATCGATACGCACGCAGCAAACTTCTACTCTCTCTCTCTCTCTCTCCCCCTTTTCTATCTCCCCCTCTCTCTCTCTCTCTCTCTCTTTCTCTTTTTCTCTCTCTTTCTGTCTCTTTCTCTCCTCCCCTTGTCTGTCAATCATTTATTTTATTCATACAGTTAACTAAATAATTAAAACAAAAAGCGCGCTGGAAAATTATCGTGAAAGTAACGAAATACATCGGAGTGTACGCTATATTTTTGCGATGGAAATGAATGAAAATATTGTCAAAAGGACCTGGCGATGTACCAAGTCTGCGACTTGGGACAGGAAAGCGACGTAGTTCCGCGAAAGTCTGATCGAATAAATGTTTTACGAAAATCCATTGACGGAGTGTCAATTTTCGGCGCGTGGTGAGGAAACGACTCGTGCTCGATAATAGAGTTTTCGGAGCTATTTCTGGATATTGCCTCGTAGCATTTTGAGTTTCAGACACGCGGCTCCACGTGTACGTGAGCACGTGTCATTATCGACTCACGTGCGCACGGTGCAGTCTCGACGTCGAAATATATTCGGTGAGCCGATCTACACACGACAAAAATGCTTGGGCACCGCTTAGCAACTGCATCGTCCTACCGCCTGGTAGTTCTTGTTTTCTCGTTTTTGTTGAATATTTCCGCCACAGCGCCACAAGATGCGCGTATACGTCGATACGTAACGATCTCTGTAATCAAATCCGCCGACCGCATGAGAATGAAATTTTTCACTAATGATTTAATCAGCCGGGCGACACGTCACATCCTCTTCCGGCCAGATACAAGACGAATACGAGTTCTCGCGACCTTGCTAGGTAATATCGTTGGAGATTTATAACTTACGATCATCGTATATGATACAATTGTCTCTGTACGTGTCAAATCAGGCGCATTAATCTTTATGTATTTTCTCTCCACCAAATTACATGCAAATCCTATGCGTAATTGCAGATGCTCGTGGATAAAAACGCGCGAGAGACATCTTGATCTTTTCCAGACGTTGAACGCAGAAAGAGAGAGAGAGAGAGAGAGAGAGAGAGAGAGAGAGAGAGAGAGAGAGAGAGAGACCGCGACCGCTTAGATTAGTCTATTTCGCCGGAGAATAGATACTGCTTTTCCGCAGTTCGGTGGCGGTGTGTTGGGAGACCGACGGCTACGTCACATCCGGTTTCCGGTAGTCGGGCCGCAGAAAACAGAACGTTCCTCGATATACGTCTCATCGATGTGTGCGCGATGCGCGTATATGTGCGCCTGTACACACGTGTATGCATCGCGTTTAAGCACGGAATAATCGATGATTAACCAGAAAAAAACGTCGAAACGCACGTTCTAACTGCAAAATAAACAGGAAGCAGGAATCCGCCTACCGCGGAGCGTTTTGATTCACACACATCGGCATTCGCATTTTAAAACATCGACCAGCTGACATGTGCAGGTTTTTTTTTCCGGCTGATACGCGGCTGATATTCGGCGCAAAGAGCCGATCATCGTTTGCCTCCAAATTTGTAAACGAACGACCGTTGTTTTACAGAACTGTGACTCTAATCCTCGACGCTAACGATTCTTCACGAGGGAACGGCTCTCTCAAACGGCTGAGTAATCTTTGCAATTACTCCCTGGCACGATGGAAAAAGAAACGGCCGAGCGAGCGAGCGAGCGAGCGAGCCTTGGAGCAAGTACGTCTTTCGCTGAATAAAGAGAAACAGCGAAGCTGCGCATACGCAATGCGAATACCCGGTGCAACCTTCAATGGACTGCCTACCCATTCGCATCCGCTCGCGGGGATAGAGCTCTTTCATTGAGCGAGCGGCTCGGCCGCTTCCGCTTTCCGTTCATGCATCTCTCTGTCTCCTGCTCGTACTCTTTTTCTCTCCCTTTTCCTTCCCTTTTCGCCTTCGCTCCGCATTTTTTCTCTCCCTTCCCGATCGTTCGCCCTGCCCGCGCGGCCGCTATTATTCGGCATAGACCGGCGCCGCTCGTTTCCCATAGGTCAAAGGGCGCGAAGAATTGGATGTTGTTCCGCTTGGCAAATTGTTGTTAACGCGACCACCCGGGAAAGAGATATTGATCGAGTCGCGGTTTTTCAATGAACTGTACTGCCGTCGCGGTGGCAATAACAAGGGACAAGGCGATACGACCCTGGCTCGTCCACGACGACCTACTTTGAGAGCTATGACGTCGGACGGTCCATTCACCTTGCAGCTCGTTCAGAAACCAAACCACGTGCCGTCATTGGTTACTTATTATGAATATGCGCGCGAGATAGAAATTTTCATTCAGTGAGACATTCAAACTCTCAAGTAGATCGTTCTCCCTCGATTCTCTCTGTCTCTCTCCGTCTTCCTTTGGCTGAGTGTTCGGGGAAGTTGCCAACGAGAATAAAACGCAAATGTTTATGTACTTTGCTTATTTTGTCGCATTATTCTGCTCGTCTCGTTTCGCGTAAATGTCAACTCGTGGGTTGCTGAAGCATTCGAGACACACAAACACACACACACACACAGAGAGAGAGAGAGAGAGAGAGAGAGAGAGAGAGAGAGAGAGAGAGAGTATATTTCTCGTCAGAGAAACGCGACGGAGTGATGAATCGGATTTTTGCCCCACGAACGACTTCCGTCGTCCAGGGCGGAAGGGCACACGAGGGAGGGAGGCGAGATTCTACGGGGCGTCCTACATGCGAGCGCGCCGATGTTTTAAGCGATACACTTCCCGGAGCGACCTAATTCGGAAGCGATGACGTCGGACGTGGGATCACGCGTTTAACTGTTCCCTTGGACACATCGTATAGATCCTAAACTGGGTTATCAGGATACTCTTGTAACCATCCTTTGGGGCTGCCGCGCGTGTCGACCATGGGCAATATTGGCAGAGAGGCGCGAAAGCGATTGCATGATTTTCGGCGTGACGCGCTCCGACATTGAAATTCGATCGTTTCGGTTTGCGCGGTGGTGGATTCATTTACGCATGACGCACGATACGGTTGCATTGTGAATGGAGCGAGGTCCCGTTCTCTAAAGTCGAAGGAATCTTTCTTTCGAAAGATCAGGATAGAGAGAGGGGTGGTTCTCGTCCCAGTAACCCAGTTTATCCCCGGGGGTTGAATGAACGGCGGTGAACGCGGTGACGTCATTCTCGACCTCATTTCCGGTTTCCCAGTGCAACCAGTTATCCAGCTCCGTGTCCCGTTGACCCGAAATTTCTCATGAATCGAAGGACGCTCGTTCATAGCCGAGTCGATCTGCCGTGCATGAATGAATTTTCCGCTTCTGCATCGCCGTCGTGTCGCGACGGAAGAACGAGCTTGTGCCCGAGGCCACGATTAATCGGCGGCCACTCTCCCATGCACGTCTCTCGGACGAGACGTCTTCGATGTCGAGAAAGTCCGCGGACTTTCTCCGTGAGAAGCAGAATACTTTTGTTCACAGTTCACTTGTCCGTGCGCAATTAAAGTTTCAAAGAGAGCGTTCGTTATTTAGCCGACATTAGCTCGATTGCTATTGGGTCTAACTTGAGGAGTAAACTCAAGGACTAGTTTGGAAACACTGAGAAGCAACAGAACTCGAGCGGTAAACCCGACCAACTGTGAGAAATCACAGTCGAGAATTATCGGGAACGTAAAATTGATGCTTTCGAATTCTTCCACGTGATTGGACTTGATTTTCCTTCGGTACTTTCATTATATACATTTTCGTGCGGTAATTACCATCTGTACCTTAACATTGCAGCTACGGTTACTTGTGTGTGTCGTCAATCTGAACGTATTATAACATTATGAGCATGTATATTATAACGCGCAAGTTTTCAGATGTTTGCGCATTTTCTCAAGCTGTAGTCTATACTTAACGAGCTTTCATGCATGACCTTGGACTGACAATAATCATATTTACAAACGGGAATATGAAAAGACCAATTCGAGCATTCTTCTAGATAAGATAACTTGAAAGTGAACCGTAAACATGAATATAAATACAGACAAGAATGATTAGACTTCTTTCAGTATTGTCGGCTAAGGCGTTTCAAGCAAGTTGTACATGGATCGCACGATGGAATACTTGAGTTTCGATCCGTCTGGCAAATCGCTGACTTTAAAGAAAACTGACGATATCCCTAAACCTGCGCCCAATGAAGTTCGAATCAAAGTCTCATATTCTGGAATCTGCGGAACGGATTTGCACATTTTGGAAGTACGTTGTTCTTACTAGACCTAAGTAATTTTGAAAATTATATTTTGCGAATCTCATCCTATCGCTTGTGCGAGTTATATAATTTCTTTTACAAATTTCCGTTTTTTCTTTTTTTGTTTAAATTTTCTACTCACTGTTGCTGTTTGCGAGATACAGTAAAACGAAGATTCTTCTTGAGCCTTCGGATCGCAGCGAATCGTAGATTTTGGTTCAATATTTAAAGTTGCATACATAAGGCATGAGTTCCGAGAATTATGCTTTTCATCGTAGTCCGATAATGTATTTTTAACTGAAATGACACGACCCGCGATAAAGCGAATGTTGTCGATGTCCGTTGATGACCGTTGTGTCATAGTGTCGTTGTTGCGTAAATTACCAAGTGTACAACGAACAACAGTATTTTTCATGTAACATGTTTCTCAGGGATCTTTTCCTTGCAAGAAGGATGGACTTTTGATCCTCGGCCACGAATTCGTAGGTACGATCGACGAGGTCGGATCGAAAGTGACGACCTTCAAGGTCGGCCAACGCGTCGCCGTCGATCCCAACAGCGGGTGCAACAAGTGCGATCATTGTCACAATGCGAATTACCACTTTTGTGAACTCGGCGGCATAAACAATACCATCGGAATCTACAGGGACGGCGGATGGGCTACACATGCGCTCGTTCCGGAAAAGCAGGTACACGAGAGTGCTGCGTATGCGACACATCGCGCTCTGTTCGTCGTCTTCTCCGTATGACGCGCGTATTAGTCTATATTTGTTGTACGTATTTGTGAATTTGTAGGTGTACTTAATCCCAGAGGGAATGGAAATGCACCAGGCGGTACTGAGCGAACCGTTGTCGTGCCTGGCTCATGGTTGGGACAGAATTAATCCCCTGAATGTAGGAAGCAAGGTCCTCGTAATAGGCGCTGGCATCATAGGCTTACTGTGGGCTTGTTTACTTCATCTACATGGCCTCCGAAAGACCGTCACTATCTCCGAACCGCAAGAGAAACGTCGGCAGATCGCCGATAATCTCTGTACGACATGAATCTTTTATTAGATTTTATTGGAGAAACTTTTCAAAATCGTTACTTTTACGGCAATTTTTCGGGTAGAACTGACGGAGACATTTTTGCACGTGTAGGTTTAAATTACGAAGTTAAAAGTCCCAGTGAAATCAAAGGAGAGTTTGACGTAGCCGTGGATTGTAGCGGTTCTGGCCCGGCCATGGAAGCAGCCGTGTCTTTATTGGGTCCTGGTGGTCGTTTATGCGTATTCGGCGTCGCTCATCCGCAAGCAGAGCTGACGATCAAGCCATTTATGGTAAACGGCTGACAACATGATATCGTTGAACCTATGTTTTACTCTAATCTCTTTATTGAAAGAATGATATTTTGTCGGCAGGTTTATAAGAAGGAGTTGAGTATTTTAGGAGTGAATATAAACCCCTATAGTTTCATCAAAGGATTGGGTTTGTTACAAGCGATGTCCGAGAAATATATCAATTACAATAAATTAGGAATTAAGACATTCTCTTTGTCTCAATACGAGGATGCTGTGTACGCGTTGAAGAAGGGAGAGATAAGTAAAGCTATGTTCAAGTTGTGAAGTGGTATTTCGTTTTATAATTTTATTTAGCTAAAGATAACCTTTGTTTGAATAAAACAATAAGTAGAAGATAACCTAAGTTTGAATAAAACTTTATTATCATTTATTATTATCGTTTATTTCATACATATTCAAATGACAGACGAGAATAAATGCACAATTTTATGTCGCAAAGTACAATATTGTAGTATAAAGAAGAGTATATATGTGTGTGTGTCGATATAAAATGTTCGCAAATATATTATAGCCATAATACATCCAGCGAATACATAATGATCACAAAGTGTATAAATACTAGAAGTTACTACGGCTATTATTAATATATAATAGCTTTCCAGGAGGGATAATGCATGTACGAATTGGGAATTATAATATTAGTACCTATAAAATTGTAAATTTGTAAAGGATATATAAAAAACGTTCCCGTTTTTACCTGCTATATTGTATAACATTTATAGGATACGCCTTGCTAAATGGGAGACTAACATTCCCGTTGTAAGTAAGTGTAAGATATGTGTTAATAGAACGTACAAAGTATCCTATTCATGTACATACAAGTAATACACTGCCTATGGCTATACATTCATAATTTATCTCTACATCACGAACAAGGCACTAATATCAACATTATCTTCTTTGTTCATGATAACTATTTCATTACGGGGATATTACGATAATTCTACTTTCAGGTTTCTGATCTGATATTGACGAATCGGTATTGTCGATTTGTGGCTACTGTAATGAGATTATATGTGGTACGTATCGTAACGTGATTATTTTTTTATTTCTCCGTCACTCGTTGAATCAAAAGGTTTTCATCACGCTATTTGATACACCGTATCGCGCAACATTCGATTATATGGTCGTCGTAAGTGTGTACTGGAATGTTAGTTTGTACCATGCCAACATTTGTACACTGTTGGCCCCTAAATTCATTAAGATGAGTTGTACGAGTTATATTTTCTAATAAGATTAATACCCGTATTCATAGTCAGGCCTTATATTTGAAGCCTCCTTATATCCATCTTTAGATGCTGCACGGATTATTTTATTGGCTACAAACCATCTGAAGATAAACTTAAGAAAGTCTTAAATATAAGGCCTGACTATGAATATGGGTATAAGATGTGTCAACAAGTACTGAGACGTGGCAGATAAATGAAAAATCACATTAAACACATCGTTCACCTTCTTTTTTCAATATTTCATTAGATTTAAATTTATCTTCGATTTGAAGCATTCAAATATGTGTGTGTGTGTGTGTGTGTTCCATAAATTATAATAAGATTTCGTTGTAAATACAATTTGTAAGCGTAATATCATATAGTGGTCAGTCACAATAATCCAAATCAGAGCATTATATAGTAAAGTGATACAGAGATTCTACAAATTGTTCTTTACATATATGTTTATATATATACGCATATATATATATATACATATATATATATATATATACATATATATATATATATATATATATATATATATATTCATATGTATAAGTGTGTGTATATGTATATAAAAAATTGAGAGAGTCAAGTGGAAGTACTGCAAGAAAGCTATAATGAGCTTAGCGAAATGTAAGTAATAATATCAAATCTGTAATTAACAATCGCATAGCAGTGAAAATTATATAACCGTCGCATCAAACGTATTTTGCACTGGCAATGAATTGTTTTGTTCATGAATAATTACAAAATTTAAAATAAAGTAAATTAAAATATCAAATAAGACCTTCAAAAACTAATTTTTGGTATTACAGCATTGTGAGAACGATAACAAAAACACTGCTGGCTGTGAAGAACCATTTTATGAGTATACATCGATTTGCAGCTGCCCACTGCAGACCTGGGTAGTTAATATTTGGCGTGGAAATTTCTGTAAGTAGCAAACACACAGATATAGAGATCGATTTGCAATCTATGCTGAAATAATATCATTATCCTATACACACCTATCGTAACATTTCTAAAAGGATAAAGATAACTTACCTCATCATTACTGTAATTGTAAAAACTAGAGCTACCAAAAGTCCTGAAGAAGCTGGAACTACACCAGTTCCATAATGAGCTTGACCACAAGCTGGCGGGCAAACAGGGATAATAGTTTCTGCGCAAACAAACGAAAGAAACACATCTAAGACATGCCAGCTACGAAAACAAATACAAGTCCAAGACAGGTTGTCCACTGCAATTGGCTAATTGCAAAAAAGAAACAAAGATCTCGCGGAAAATAGATTGGGATAAACGCAGGATAATATACGTTTCAACACGTAACAAAATTGACTCATATATAAGAAGGTGGGTATAGTTCTCATTATCATCATGCACAGTCAGTTGAACGAGAAGACTGTATCCAGCAATGTTCGTGTTCCAACTAGAGGCGTTATCTACAATCCTAGATAAATTATCAAAGTCAGATACACAGTCAACTGTAGGTTAAAAAAGCCTAGATCGAGTTTAGTTCCTAATAGATGAATCCGGTACATTCTGTAGAAGAGACTCGTTTGACACCCCAATTATTATTTCACCTGTTTAGTTATTGGCATCTTTTTTTGCGTTGGCTCTTATTAGCTTTTTTAATCTATATTGTTCATTACAATCTACAATCGATATGCTATGTACGTAAATACATGCATATTTCAACTATTATTCTCTTACCAAAAAGCTCAACTGTTGTCTCAGTAGTGCCCAACTTATTGGCCGCCCGACACACGTATTCTCCATATTGCCGCTTCTCTATAGTGATGACGCGAATCGTCGTGTCAGTGTATTCGTCCGCTGTCGCGAAGTGAGATATGCTGTAGTGCTGATTGTTCGACAACTGGACCCCACTCTTGAGCCAAATAATAGCTGGAGGTGGATAAGCTTCAACGTGACATTCAAGGTCCATGTCGTATTGCAGTGCTTGCCCGAGTCGTGGTCTAGGAGCTGTGATCACAGGTGCGAATTCAACCTCCACGTTTATATTACGCCTGGTGCCGTGTCCGACGTTGTTCTCAGCTACGCAATAGTACGTTCCACGATCCTCCTTTCGTATGGCAGATATTTTCAGTATATTGCCGCTGTAACAATCGTAGACTTATACGGCGAACTGTAATTTGAGTATCGAACAATAAATAAGCCTGTTCTTTTCAGCTGAGCTAACCTCAGCTTAAGCTGAGTAACGCTACACCAGAACTTTGTTCCTTGTCCTTTTAATGCTAAATTGTTTCAAAGTGCAATCTAGAGAATTCAGTGAGAAAGAACAGACTTAGCGAACAGACTCGCGTGCTGATTACAATACCGATAAATCGATCCCCCAGTGGGCAAAATGGCATTGTTCTCCCTGCGCCAGGATATCTTTGGATCTGGATATCCGGCGGCGTAACATTCCAATCGAACGGCTTGTCCTTCGCTAACCACTAGAGACTGGGTAGAGTTGTCGCTGATTATCGGTGGTCTACGCACCTTTAATTCTACATCTGTGCTTTCCATATTATTTAGAGACAATTGAATTCTACACTGGTAATATCCAGCATCCGTTTCTTGGATATCTTTTATCTGAAATGATAGATGCAATATATATATATATTGTGCTGTGAATCAGTAAAAATGTTTCTAATAGTCTACAAATCCTATAGTATATAAATTTGTTACAAGCTATACCGCATTCAGTTGTTTGTGTTCACTCACAAAGGAATCAAAATGTTTTCAAGTAGCTTGTGTGCTATGATGACACACTGTTTATAAATTGCATCAATGATAGGAACAATTGCTATCATTAACTGATCCTTGTAACGAGATCTTGCTGATTGCAATGAGTATCATTTCAGCGAAGAATACACTGATGGTACTTTAGAGAATACATATCTCTAGTTGTCAGAATATTTCCCTATCGGTCTTACTTGCAGAGTATAGGTAGAAGACGATGGATCATGTTTGAGGGAAAATCTGCTATCTTTGATTATCAATGCGGTGCCCGTGGAAAGTGCCACCTGATCATGGCCGCTTTGCTTGTTCATTTTGATCCAGAGAACAGGATAGTCTTCCGCGTATTGAACCGAACATTGCAGCTCCACAATCTCGCCGATATCCTTAACCTGTTCCTGTGTTATGTAAGATATTGTCGGGGTACGTAGCGTCACAACTGGAAAACAAATAGCACACACACCATTCAAAATCTCCGCGCACACGAGTGCTGTGTCATGTTGTGTCGTTGCGTATGTCATTTGTCGGAAGACAATTCCTCCGCTTTAATAATTGCATGCGACACACTCTGCACCGTGAACGAAACGTCTCGTATGTCGATATAGCTACGTAGGAGATGCACACGCGAATGTTCTCATCAATAACACGTGTTTACCTGTTTGCAGGAACGCGCAGATCACAGCTAAAGCAACGGCACGCATTGTGACACACCCAACTTCGTAACCGGAAAGTCTGAATAATATTTAGCTTCTCGCTGCGATGTTCCGGCTGTTGCGTTTAATCTCCAACATAGGACCCTCTCTCCAACGAAACGTAGATCAGACTCGGTACATTCGGAGTGCAGTGCGATGATCCGTATCAATAAAAAAGCGTGATCGCTGCGAAACGGCGCACGGATGATAAAAACAATCGGCGGGAGGAAGACTGCAACATCCGAAACCGTCCACTGCCTCTGCAGGTGCCTGTTGACTGTGACTGACTCAACAAGCGTCGTGAATATGGCGTACGACGCTACATCGCTAGTCAAGCTTCGGTCAAAATCTCGTCGCGCCGCTGCATTTTATTGGTGAGCCGCTCGTTATCTCGCTCGTGATAAGACATTAATTGTAGCCATTAATTGTCCTGCTGATATCGGCAGGCGCGATGTCTCGCGAGCGACATCGATGAATTATTAACGCAACTCGATCGCTCTCGCGATTGATTTGAAATCCAGAACCGCACGTGACTTCGTACGGCCGAGGTCACCGCAAGATCATCGCATGGATAAAAAAAAATCAAATTTCGCGACGACGAACGAGCCAGATTTATTTCGATCGAAGGGGGTGGAACATCCGTTTCTCATTAACGAACTTGATTCTGTTTTCTCATGAATCAAAATGCCTTTTTTATTTTTATTTTATCTCGATAGTTTCTTAAGAATTTTTCCACCGGCCGTTTACGGGGAAAAGATATTTGACTTAATATGGCGAGATAAGCGAAAAAGGGAAAAGAATGGGCTCTTACGATTAAATTTCGTTCGTACGAACAAAAAAGATCTGTTTTTTTCCGGAGAACTTCTGAACTAGTGCGACAAGATAGAAGGAAACATATTTGATCTCAGTCAAACTTATCGCACTGATCCTGTGACAAAAAAAACAGATCCAAAGATTCTTTTGTCTTGCTAGCAGAACGGCTATTGGCTATTGGCTCGTTCATCGCTGCGTCCTGTTTCCTCCTTCCTGTTTCCTGGAAAGCTGACCCTCGCGTTTCATAGATGCCCGATGTGACGTGATCATCAGCATGACGCAATTCTGTCGTCCAGGGTGCATACCTGAATGGCACGTCACCGTCTCGCTGCGCAACTCAAGCGCACGCGGTGGTGTCTCGCGCCGTCGTTTCGTCATCCACCGGTGTTTCAAGTTCAAGCTTCACGGAGGAATCGGAAATAACGTCGTTTAACGGGCGCGCGAGACGCGTAGCGTGTGTTGTGTCCGTTGGGTAACCATAGCAATCTCGAAAGCCTCGGCCGCGAAAGCCACTCCGACATTCCATCGCCCCGCACGCGTGTGTGATCGCACGGGGGGTGAAATTTTCACCCCCGCGTGCGCGCGCGCGCGCGCGCGTATGAGCGTACACATACGTGCAGGCTAGACAACGACTTACACTGTTCCGAAATGATATACGAGTAGGAAGGTGCACGCGCGCGCACGGCACGAGCGAGCGAGCGAAACGCGCCACGACCACATAAATAACGCGGCATTGATGACGATACGCGTGACATATAAGTATCGCACCGCTATCCATCGGCCAGTACATGTCACACTGGTGCCGCGAAAGCTACATCCTACCTGTTCGCTCGGCGACAATTTGACCAGAGGCACGTCTCGCCGCCTGTGCCACGCGGGAAACTGCGACGCGCGCTGTCCAAACTCGGCGAACTTTTCTCTCAACTTCACCCCGCTGCGCTGCGCCTCGCTCCCCGCCTTCTCGCCGAGAGAGAAATACGTCCGTCGCATGCTTGAAGACAGTCAGGAAGGAAAAGTAACCGAGTCGATCGAGAGTGTGAGGAAGAGCCTCGAGCGAACGTTACTCGGACTCAGCTCGTCATGCTCCACAGCGTGAAAACGCACGTGGGCCGATCGCACGGGCGCGACTCCGTCGAGGTGTCTTCCCTCGTGCCGCCGTAAGGGTATCTCGGAGCGCACGACCCTGACCACCGGAATGGATTCTCCACGAGGCGTGGTTGAGCCCTGCCGCATTCATAATTGACAAGAGCCAGCCGAGGCCGCCGCCAGCTCGACGAGCTTATCGACACTGATCGATGCTCCTCGTTTCCTTGCGATTAACTATCAGGCGCGATCGAGGAAGCGGCACATCCGAGGTGTTACCGGGGTCCTTACCGGGCTGAGAGAATCCCGCGGGAAATTCGTCGGACTGATCGCGAAGGAGGAGGGAGAGCAGCAGCTCTGCGGGGGAGTCTCGCGAGTTCACGATTGATGATTCCTCCGAAGGGGAACGAAAAGCTCCGTCAGCCTTTGGTCGAGCACGGAGATGCCCGAGTTATGTAAAGCGCCGCCGCAGCATGCTCGCGTGCATGACAACGTGATCGTACGGACGCGAGTCAGCGTGTGAAGTCGTTGTGCCCGGCGAAAGATGATACTGGACCGTGCTGGATCGCTGCGGTTGCGTTCCGTGTATACCGAATGCCGGCCGAGAGTCTTCCGGGCCGTGTGACCGTGCGAGCGCTGAAAAAAACGGATCTGCGGGAATCGGCAACATGGATGAAAGCAGGCTGCAAGTAAACGATGACAGCCAGGTATACTTTGCACCGTACCGAAAATCGGTTTTGCATCCCGCGCATGTGAGAATATTTCTCATAGTGAGTCATCGTTTCATAATATACATACATATACGTTAACTGTCGTTAGAGATTAATTTTGATGTATTGAATTACAATCAAGCGTCTCGGCGCGTCGGAGATTTTTGCGTAATTGTTGCTAGTGAAGAGCGAAGAGAGAGAAAGAGGAGGGGAGGGGGAAGAGGGAGAAAAAATAATGTCTGCAAAAGAACAGCCGAGTCGGGTTCACGACTCGGCATATCCGAGTGATCTATCTAAAGAGTGAGAGAGGATATACACGTATCTTAATAATACATCTAAACCGCCGGAATATCGATAGCCACGCTGTCCGTAGAACGGCGGGTGCGGCTGTAAGGCGAGAAAGTGCTTGTTATTCCAATGTTTCGCGTTCACTGGCTCAGACTGCCTTAATCGCCGCAACACGTTGCTTGTTTCTCTCTCTCTCTCTCGCTCGCGTTTTATCCCTCGGTAACGCGCTGACAAAAGCTGTTGATTTTCGATCTCCGGGCCTGATTAAAATATCGATCGTACGACCATTTTGTTGCTCGTGAACTCGTTTCCGTCTCTCGCTCATGCATTCTTAACGCCACCGTCGTAAAATTGGAACTCTGAACGTGGCTCCCTTCGCGTCTCTTCGACTATTTCGCTTGTACGATTTCTCTCTCTCTCTCTCTCTCTCTCTCTCTCTCTCTCTGTGTGTGTGTGTGTGTGTGTGTGTGTGTGTGTGTGCATGTGCGTGTGCGTGTTTTTTGTACTTTTTTTCTTTCCCTCACTGCCTCTTTACGACCAATAAAATACTTGTACGATCGCTCGGGGCGAATCATTACACAAGGTGCATCACGAAACGTTCCGTACGCTTTCAGCATAACCACAGTCGACGGCCCAGCAGCTGGGGCAACTTCCTTCACCCCGACGAGAACAGTCCGGTCGAGTCAGCCCGGTTCAATGACGAGAAATCGAGTGACACAACCAACGTCTCTTCCCGCGTCTCCACGGCGAAGTCGACGCCGGCGAAGAGCGTGTCCCGTAACGCGCCGGGATCGCCGGACTCGGGTTTGATCTGCGTCCCAAACAGGGAGATACTTTACGAGCTCGACAAGAACGGCTATCTGCCGACCGGGACGCCCACTATTAACAGGAAATTATCGAGAGCCAGTATACATCCGTCCGGAACAAATCTGACGGCGCGGGATGCCTTCGGTGAGATGATTAATTCGGTGTTAACGAACGTTCTCGATATACAAAGCAGCCCCGGGGGCGGCTGCAGATACTCTCGTTCATCTTTCGAGGCAAAATTGTATACTGAGCTTCAACACGGTTTGTGAAAAAAAAGAAATTTTTTTTTTTTTTTCTTTGCTTTCTCCGGTGCTCTTCACAACGCAGCCAGGCGATGGTCCAACGAGAATGCTTGACGAAGAAGAGAGGATCGGTCGAGGTAACGTGACGATGAGGGAATCAAACGCGTCTTGGTCGAAAGAGACAGATAATTCCTCGTTCATAAAACCATGTTTTATTCATAAAAAATTTTATTCACGAAAGGTTAGTTTCATCGGCCAAATATCGTCGTTATTGTCACGTTCACTCGACCAATTTCCCTCGCTCCTGCTGCTTTGGAAAAATTCCCAGAGGTCCCAAACTCTCCCGTTGGACAACCGCTGTGTTTCGAACTGCATCTAGAAAAAAAAAACAAAGGAAAAAAGAAAAAACGAAAGTGCCCGAACCGTTTTGAAACCCTTTGTACGAGCGTGCAGCAACAAACGTTTCGCCGCGCTGTTGTGCATTTCGAACACGTGAATTCCAGCATGGCGCTCGAACATGATGGAGTAATTTCAGCTAATCCCCCAACGAAGCTTATATCATACTTTAATGACGGAGTTGGCTAGATATAGCTGGGTACACACACGCGATACAATCCACATGAGCGCGTATAAAATAGATAAAAATGAGCCACTCATGGAATGACAATGGCGGCGCGGCAGCGGTGGTGGCGGTCGTCTATAATGGCAATAAAGCTATGTCAGTAAACCTCGATCAATATGCATACGAATGTCAGCGTGTCACGAATATCGGACGTTAATAATGCAACGGCTCGACTCGGGTCGCCCTCGCCACGCGAAGCTGTACATCATCTATTCTGCGAGCAGCGCGGGTTCGCACGGTCTTTAGCTAGTCGTCCAACTTTTCGCTCCTTTCTCTTCCTTTTTCGTAATGACACCTTACTTTTGCGAGAGTATGCACCGCCGAAGACTGTATTATGGACACGTGTTCAAGGTGAAGAAGCAGCTGCCTCGCGGTAGACGGACAAGTACGCACACGCGGGCGTCACGTTGCCGTCGTCGTGACATGTTATGGCCTTGCTCTTTCGTCGTGTATCAATAAGAGAATTCGCAAGCCTTGCTGAAAATTACAACGGTGCGCTGGTCTTATTTCCGCCACGTGTCTCTCTCTCTCTCTCTCTCTCTTTCTCTTTCTCTCCCTCCCTCTGCCTTGGCTGAGAATAGCCGTCGGCATTTACAATTCATCGGCAATGCAACAGGTTACCAATCATAGCGCGCTCGATATCGATAGATGAGATTCGTGTCTTCTCATTCATTCATTCATTCATTCATTCATTCATTCAGCTTCGTCGTGCGGTTGGCCGGCGCTTTGCCATGGCGCGGCCATTGTGAGGGAGAGACGATCGAATCGATCTGGAAATTGCGCGAGTCGTAGTACGTAATTCCATCAGCGAATCGGCTTGCAGGACCTAAACTCACGGTGCCCGCCACCCCGGAAGTCAGCCCTTCGTTACCGTCCACGCCCGCCTCGTTGGATTGCGCGGAGAACGCGAGGGATTCATTGCCACCGAGAGAAGCGGAAACGGAAATCGATCCCGATACACTCTACTTTCGGTGGGTAGTTATCTACAGCTACGACGATATGTCATAGAGCTATTTCGGTTTCGCTTTGCAAAGCGCTCTCGGATAATCAACTGTTGAGAGAGTGTACGTATATATGTATGTACACGTGTATGTATGAGTAAGCATGGACGACGTACAAAGCATTCGTTTCTATTATGACACGCTTAATATGATTCCCCAACGAAAGTCAGCGATGTTTTGTTTTATCATCGTTGCGTGGACACACACACACACAACACACACACACACACACATATACACATAAGCGGAATGATTCAAGCGAGAACGCTGCGGTAGATATCGTTAATTTTGCAGAGGCCTCTTATTTTTAGGCGACCTAAATGTAAAGAGGGTAGGTGTTGTTATAAAATTAGGTCGTCTCTCTTACAATTGTCTGATGCTTTTGACCTTTACAATCCGCGGGACACGCGGGGTCTCTCACATTTTGTAGCGACGATATATAACGAAAGAGTCCTGGTTCGAAGACAGTAAAAGCGGTTCTCGCGCAAAAGCTTCCTAGACTACGAGGATTAACGATTGAATTCCGTGAGAGATATCGCTCGCTATTTTCCGCTCTACACGATGATTACAGCGACGGCCGTCGAAGGATCGATATGGTATTAGTGTATCAGGAGGAAAATGAAGGGGTCATGACGGAGATAGAGGCTCGCCGGCGAGAGCAACGGCGGGTCTTTCAGCAGAACCTCCTGAAGGAGGGGCTGCAGCTGGAGCTGGAGTCGAAGGAGAGTTCCTTCGACGGGAAGACGTACTTCTTGAAGCTGCACATACCGTGGAAGATAAAGGTGCAATACGCCGAGGTGATGAACCTGAAATTGCCCACCAAGAGGTTCATCACGATCTCCGTGAAAGCTTGGGTACGTCTCTTCGTCGAATTGGTACACGTGCGTACACGCGTCTTGTTCTGCAGCGCGTCCGAGTAGCAGCAGCAGCTCGGTGAGTAATAACGAGAATCAAACGAGCAGGGTACAGAGGGTGCCAAAGAGATCCCGAAGTTCTGGGAGAGGTGGACGCGTTGGGTCGAGTGGATACGCAAAATACACACGTGGGACACGAACAAGTACCCAGCGGAGCCGAATTTTTACGACAGCATAGACTCGGGCGATCGCAAGGAGAGGTATCGACTACGATGCGAATCGACATCGTCGTCGAGCTGGACGAGTTCAAACTACCGGTGTTCTCTCGCAGGTTCATCGTGAAGGACAGAGACACCGCTTACACGCCCGCTCAAAGGTCGTTGATAGTGATGCAGATATTATTGCGAGCGAGATACGATGAGAACCATGAGAAGTCCGGCATTCGCAGACTCTTGGCGGACGGAACGTACATCGACTGTTTCTCCTTGCACGAAGGCCCTTATGACAAGCCCTTGCGTAACGGGGAGATTCTCGACAGGCATCTGCTGTACCTGATATGGGCGAGACCTGGGCAATGGTAAGGGAGAGGAAGATATCTCGTATGTACGCCATCGGTAGCTAGAGGAAATCCCCCACGTTCTTTCTATTCCATCTACTCAGGTACAAGAAACAACCGCTGTGGTTGATACGACGATACTTTGGCGAGAAAGTCGCCCTGTATTTCGCGTGGCTGGGCTTTTACACCAAGTGTTTGTACCCGCCAGCGGTGGTGGGTCTCTTGTGCTTCTTTTATGGCCTCGGAAGCATGGAGGGTATGGACAATGTTCCTAGCAAGGAAATTTGCGATCCTAATTTAGCCGGTGAGTTCTTTTCTCCACTCGTGATATCCGCTCGCGCGTTTGGTCAAAATGAGACGAGAATCGCGGCTTTTTCGTTTCTAATTTTGCCACTTTCCAGGAAACATCACTCTGTGCCCCCTTTGTGACCGAGCGTGCACCTACCAGAAACTCGGCGATTCCTGTTTATTCTCAAAGTTAACTTACTTGTTCGATAATCCAGCTACCGTCTTCTTCGCCATTTTCATGTCCTTCTGGGGTAAGAAAGAAAAGGCAGTAGAATGATGCCCTTCGTTTCGATCGCGCTCTCAAGGCTGACTTTAACTCTGACGTAACAGCCACCACGTTCCTCGAGCTTTGGAAGCGACGGCAAGCCGTGATTGTCTGGGAATGGGATCTTCAGAACGCCGAATACGACGAAGAGCCTAGACCCGAATTCGAGACGTCCGTGAAGACCTTCCGGATCAATCCCGTCACGAGGGAGAGAGAACCGTATTTGCCTGCGTGGTCTAAAGCTATACGATGCCTCGCTACTGGCTCTATAGTGTTCTTCATGGTAACGATTGATGATATTTCATATTTTAGATTGTTTCTGATTGTTGCTCTTTCGCAGATATGCGTGGTCCTCGCTGCGGTTCTGGGTACCATCATATATCGCATCTCGCTGGTCGCCGTGTTCTACGGCGGCGGTGGGCCCTTCTTGAAGAGGCACGCGAAGATATTTACTTCCATGACCGCCGCTCTCATCAACTTGGTGATAATAATGATACTCACGCGAGTGTATCATCGCATGGCACGATGGATGGTCAATATGGAGAATCCAAGAACGCAAACGGAGTACGAAGCCAGTTTCACGTTCAAGATCTTCTTGTTCGAATTTGTCAACTTTTACTCGTCCCTGATTTATATTGCCTTCTTCAAGGTAATTAACGAGCGATTGGTTTGTTCAGATTTGCTTCAAGTTAATTTTTCTAAATGTCAAATGCTCTCACCGGAGCATTTTGAAACCAAATGAGCTCCTTGAAAATACTCGCCTGGCAATTTCCAGGGGAGATTCTTCGTTCATCCGGGCGACGCGGACGCGAGAGCTTCGGAATTCTACCGCATCAAGACGGATGTGTGCGACCCGGCTGGTTGCCTCTCGGAGGTCTGCATTCAGCTCGCGATCATAATGGTCGGTAAACAGTGCTTCAACAACTTTGTCGAGATCCTGTCGCCGAAACTGTGGAACTGGTGGCGCAAGAGAACGCAGATCGCGGCGACGCGCAATCACGACCGGAAGTACCCCTATTGGGAGAAGGATTATCAGCTCCAGGACCCGGGCAGACTGGCCCTGTTCGACGAGTATCTGGAAATGAGTGAGTAACGAATTCTCGTCGATGTTCTTCATCGTCACCCTTCTGCGAGTACTCACTCAGTATACCTTGCGACAGTTCTACAGTATGGCTTCGTGACGTTGTTCGTGGCGGCGTTCCCGTTAGCGCCTCTGTTCGCTTTACTGAATAACATCGCGGAGATCAGACTGGACGCGTATAAAATGGTGAAGGAGGCCCGCAGGCCGTTGGCCGAGCGAGTGGAGGATATTGGTGCTTGGTTCGGTATTCTTAGGGGTGTTACTTATGTAGCGGTAGTGTCAAACGTACGTACGCAAGACGTCCTCGAGACGCGTCGAGTGAGACGATAGACGTTCGAGTTCGAGTTTTTTATGTACTGTGGAAAAGTATCTCTCGGATAATCCAGTCAGTAGCAAAGATCGGAATTGCTTCGAATATTGCTACCTCAAACAGTATAAATGTTCGAAAGACATCTTTGAGACTTCTGAAGATTAATCCTACTCGTGTCAACTGACAAGTACCTTTATGTAAAATCTTTTGGAAATGTATGCAAGTTATAGACGTGCAATCGGCTCTTATTGTCCCTGTTGATGTTATGTCAGTTTAATTTTGATTATAAAGAATGTTATATCTGAAATATCTTAATCTGAGATACTCTACTTGTTTTCTAAAGGTCTCTAGAAAGCATTAAAAATATTTATGCTGTTTAGAATTCGCTACCCAACACATACATGACATAACGTTACATGTATTCGAAGTGATTCGATACATGTCGAGCTCGTCGCTGGCCAATCCTCGATCTCTCGAAACACTTTTATTAACATGCATCTTTTTTCCAGGCTTTTGTTATTGCATACACGTCTGACTTTATTCCACGGAGCGTGTACGCGTTCGTTTATTCGCCTACCGAAGATTTAGTGGGTTACATCGATAGCTCTCTGTCAGAATTCAATACTTCCGATTATCGTGACGATATGAAAAGCGACGCGGACGAAAAGCACCCGGACACGTGTCAATACAGGGGCTACAGGAACGGACCAGACCATGTGGACGACCCTTACGGTCTCAGCCCGCAATACTGGCACGTTTTCGCCGCGCGTTTAGCGTTCGTTGTTGTCTTCGAGCACGTTGTAAGTCGACGTTTTGTTCCTCAATAACAAGGTAGCGTTCACACGTTCGTCACTTGAGAATCTAACCGCCTGGGAAAAAATGATTGTACATAATTATATATGATTATACATAGGTTATGTATAATTATATACCGGGTGTTTCAGATCACCCGGGTCACCCGATTTTTTTCCGGTTAACGCGACATTTTAGAGGAAAATATTTCAGACAAAAGTTGTAGGGCTTCTAAAGGATCTATTTCAAAGGGCTTTCAAAGGATCTATTTACTGACGCTACGAATTTGGACCTTGGGATAATCTTGAAAAGTCCATTCAAGATCAACATAAAAATCTTAAATGGATATCCCAATTTTTTATTACATCATCTTTTTCTAGCAATTAATTTGAACAACTTTTGTTTGAAACATTTTTTTTATTTACCTAATATTTTTTTAGATGTTTAAGGAAAACTTGATAACTTTTTCAATATTTAACTCACGATATCTCGCTGACTATTTGTCAGAAGAAAAAGTGGTACTAGACTTTTTTGCTTTATTTAGTCTCAAGAATATATTTTTACAATAGCGCCCTGATTTTTGTTAACTTGCTGATTTTTCGAAATTTCAAAATCATCAAATTAACCAAATTCAGGGCGCCATTGGAACAATATATTCTTCACCTACGGTGACGAAAAATGCCGTGGAAACTAGAAAGAATTAATCATACAGATATAATCGAGAGAGAAGCAAACTTCGTTCTCCTTTCTCTCTAAAACGCAGGTTTTTGCACTCACCGGTATCATGAGCTACGTGATACCGGCCGTACCGCATTCTCTGTCGACTCAACTGCAGCGCGAACGACTGCTCGCTCAAGAGGCGAAGTACGAGAAGGGGATAAAGGGCAAGGAGGACGACGACGACTTGCTGTCGGTCCTGAGGGAGGCCGGGACCATCGGTAGACCCGGTGGTGGCGCCGGCAGAGGCAGTTGGACCAGGCGATTCAGTAAATTGAGCGACGGTCTGGACGCTCACGTTGACGTCGGTGTTAGACACAGCAAGCGCAGCGATAACTCCACAGTATGGGAAGTCACGTAATAATCGTTTATACCGTTCTGTCGTGTACATTCTTTTCCCGTTCACGAAGCTGGATTGCCCGGTACGCGAAGATAATCATGACGACATAAATCCAAACGTCTCTGATGTTTTTGGATAGAAAAAGAAAAACAGAGGGAGGAATCATCCGCAATTCATAATTTTTTACTCGCACGCGCGCGAGACGTGAAACACACAACAGATACGAGGCGAAGGAAGAAGAAGGTACTCTACCAAATGTTACACAATATATTTTTTTATTTTACATAATGCCATATTTCTTTTCCTCGAGATATTACAATTGTTATTATAGAATATATTTATAATAATATACATGTGTATTTACTCTATATGCAAATACTTATTTATATTCCTTTCTTGGTATTGATTCTGCTTAACGTGTACTTTTATTTCATTCATGGTACATCGCTTCCCTTATACTTGCCATTTCTTTTAAAACCTAAGCGTCTCTAGTTACATTAACATTTCTATGTCCAAACTATATCACAGTTGTGTTTGAGGGGAGAGACAGGGGTTTTTTTTAGGGAGGAAGAAGGAAGGAAGCGCCATTCAGGTAACTGAAACTGTGCGTAGTCCATTCAATAAGTTCATAAAAACAACGGACACAGACTACCGCTAGCCACAAACAGTGAACGGTCAAGTATATCCCTTGAAAGAAAATTTATCGAATGGATCGCTCGACACATATATCGCGTTCCATACTCCGTACTCACTCTTGATATTATAAACACGCGCGTTGGTGACCGTCGCGTCCCGCATGCGGAGGTCACGAATTTTGATGCGCGACGGCCACTCTCCCGTCACACTTGACGTTTATCAAAATGCCGCTATAAATGTACATTAATACACTATATTTGTGGATCCATCGAGGCGATCTATTGGGACACACGTTCTTCCTACTAATTCGTGCGGTAAGAAAACTTCGAACTCAACTCATCGCGTGGACTAAGCGCTTCGGCTGATAGTATTCTTCTCATCGACAAGGTAAAAAAAAAAAGAAAAAAGAGGAAAAGAAAGAAAGAAGAGAACCGCCGGAGAGATGACGCTTAACTAGGTCCGGGAGGGGCGTTGAAATTAAACATGGTGGTTGGCGGACGTCCCGGTAAAGGCTTGGGCGGTAACCTCGGTGTCACTGATCCTGCGGGGTAAGAACAATGTGACGATAACATTTGTTATAAATATACAATGTATTATATATCAATGTAAAATATATCTAAGTATATATATAATATATATACATATATATGTGTGTGTGTGTGTGTGTGTGTGTGTGTGTGTGTGTGTGTGTAATATATTTAATACATATATCGCATACTTTTAATACAACATATTAAAAATAAAGTCTCTACAGTGACACGCATGGCGAGCAGAGCTCGGCTTCGCTTACCGTTAGGCTGTGTCGGTTGAAGTTTCGTGGGGCTAGGGCCATTGAAAGACATGTGTCTCCGCGGGTGAACGACAGTGCAACCCGTGCTCTCCAACGTGGAATTGCGGCGCGCCAACAACGCCGAGGTGCACGGGTTCAGCGTCGGCTGAAGCCGCGGCGGTAACGTGGTGGTTCGCGGTGGTAACGGCGGCGGCGAGATGTCCCGCGGTGGGAGGATCGGCGCGTTCGGCGCTTGTCTCACCTGAGCAGAGTCAAAGTCAGATCCGTCGGATTTTTTCATTTGTTGGTATCTCTTGTCAATCCTTTTACTTTAATCTTACCTGCTGCGGCGATTCGCTAATTGAACTCTCCCGTCTCCTAGACGGTAGTCTGGGCGGTAGTGGCGGTGGAAGTTGGTTAGGCGGTACGTTACTTGGCGACGGCGGCGTCGGCATCGCGCTGGGGCTCCCGCCCGACGACGGTGAAACACCCACCATCGTACCAGAGTTGAAGCCGAAGTGTTTAGGAGACCCCAACTGAGGGCTACTGCCCGGCGAAGCGATCGCGAGCCCGAACATGCTAGGTGGACCCGGTGATCCCGGAGGTAGTCCAGGTCCTGAATAGGCAGGCATAGAAACTGTGTAGTTTACCTTACTTATCGTTCGATCGCCGATCGAAACGGTAACGTGCCGTACGTTGTGCAAGTAACATACCCAAGACGGGCGCAAAAACATTGTGGTCCCCTGTGTGCGAAGTCACGACTTGCGACGCGTGCGGCGGTGTTTCTGGTAATTCGGGAGGGGGAGGCGCTTCCGTCGGAGGGTCGTGTAACCTTACGCTAGACGCCATCGCTTGTAACGGGGCCGGTAACTTTCCGCTCAGACTTCTAGCCTTGATTCCTGGCGACTTTAGGTTCAAGTCCGGCCATTTGCGCGGCTATGTGGCGAAAGAAAGCGTAATCGGACAATCCGCAATTTTGCTGTATCGCGGGGATGCTGAAGCGAAGACACTCACCATTCGCGGAGGTTGTCTGCATCCCCTTGGCTCTACTTCTAAACTCTTGTTGTACAGGTAATTGTTTATATCCTCGTCCTTCATCGAGGGATCGAAGGGACACAGATTCTCAATGAAGTGTCTGATTTTCGGCTCCATCGAGAGGCAATAGGGCTGATTTTGGTACTGCTCAATTTCACCGGTTATTTCCGCCACTTTCCGTCGTTTGCTGAAATTAATAAGCTCTGGACTTCCCGGTAGGTAGTCGGGATTCCCCTCCTCAATGTGCAGGATATTAGTCAAGTACATACCTGTAAGAACAAAGGAAGCAGAGTGAATGTGAAATATTTTCGACGGGTCTTCTTCGCGATACTCACCAAAAAATGGTACGCAAGGCGGATTGATGGATCTCAATTTCTCTTGATACTTCCGAAAGTGATCGTTATTAAGCTCTCGCGCTTCTTCCAACGCCTTTTCTAATCGCGCTGGTATTTGCTGTGGGAATATACAAGTGTAAGTAAAGGGAAGAAAAGTGAACCTCGGGGAATTTTCGCAGAGTGTACGAGAAAAGAAACCTACTTGGAACGTAAATTTTAGCCTAAACACCGAAGCTGATCCCATAGCGCTAACGATCGCTAGAACGCCGTTGAAGTTGTTGAGATCTTGCAGCACCATCATTATTTCGATTGCACGTGATACAATGGCCACTCTTTCTTCAAGATTGTCGGCCTCCACTATTGTCTTTTCCAGCCATCTTGTAAACTGTCGAAACGCCATAAGAATCGACGATATTTAGTAATACAAAATGCTATACATCGTTTTACACTATAAATGATTCAAGACAGAAATTTACATTTGTCGTATGCTTGATCATTTTCAGCAAATTCGACGACGTCTTCTCTTTGTCTTTCTTCGTCCACACGGAACCGACTAATTCGGAAGGCTTCACTGTCCTGTACAGCTCGAACTCCAAGAGCGTCAATTGTCTCGCTAATTCGATAGGATGTAACTGCAATCAGAGACTTGATCTCAACTTACTAATTATTCACTGCGGTGTAAATACATTTTATATTTTGTAATTTTGGTGAGAGTCTCATCTATCAAATCATCTCTCCACCATCGTCTCCAATTAAGAACGAAAGTGATCGCAAAGTACAATATCTCTATACCGTAAGTATATTCCAGTCTTCTTCGGGAACCCTAAGATGCCACTCGATTGGCGGTGGAGATCGCTCGAAGCTAAAGGTGATAGGTCGTTCCGACGAGTCGCTTTTTCGCTGTAAAATCTTTACTACCGAGTCAACCCACTTCCGCATAGGCTTGCCACTTACTGTATCTAAAAACGATTGTAATCTTTCCAGAAGATTCCTGTCACGTTCGAAATCGTAAAAATGATGATCCACCTAATGAAGAATAAAAGTCAGAAAGAAAAAGCAACTTTCGAAATCGTATAAGCGGACAACGGAGAACCGCGTTGCGAATCTGCTTACCCAATGCCTGAGAACGTTCAAAATTCGAAACTGCACCGGTTGGCAAAATTCTTTTCTGTATTTCTTCCAGTCTTCCCTAACTGTTGTCTTGCAACCCGTAGGCGCCTCTTCACCGTATACCAACAAAGGATCAGGAATATCAAATCTCTCCATAAGCAACGTAAATAACTCCTGGGGCGAACAGAAACTCCTGCCAAGCAAGCAAGTACGATGAATACTCTCGTTCGAAATACGTAACGAGTAAAGAGGAAAAAAAGTCGCTCGCTGTAGAGCAGATATAGCGCAGTACAATCACCTGTAAGTAGTGAGGAATGTTTTCAGGAACGCAGGATCGGCGTAGATATGATAGGTTAGTCTTTCAACTAATTTAACTAAAGTCGCTCCTTTGATCAAAGGAACTCCACCATTCTCCCTGGCTTCTAAAACGATGTTTTCGTCGCTGTCCTGCTCGGCGAATTTGTACAGATGGACAGGCGGCAATTTCAACGGATGCTTCAACTCCTCATCCGAGAGAATATTGTCCAGCGTTCTTTCCAGCATGCTTTTCGTATTCAACATTACCAAGTCCGCCATCCAGTTGTTCTTCTCCTCGACGGTCTTTGCTATGAGAATAACGCTCGGCTGGTCCCTCGGTGAAATTTCAAAGGCGAACTTCATCTCTGCTGGCAGAATATTTTATACAGATTTCCCACCGATACGACACATTCTCGATGTGTAAGTTACGTCGCTTTTACCTTCGGTGTCTTCCCTATCGATGATGGACACCTTCCTCATGAAAAGAGTTTCCTTCAATCGCAGTTCTCCTTGGTGCGCCGGATGCCCTACTCCGACCGCACCAACAGTGACACTGACTCTTTTGCTACCGCTCTGTTTACACAACGCTAACACGCCGTCGAATAACAAGGCCTTCCTCTCGGTTATTCTTCGTCCATTGCCAGCTACTTTCGTCAATGTGTCCTCTGTACAAAATTCAAACATTAATACAGTGCAAAATTACAATATTTAACACAGTCCGGGAAAGAACGAAACTTGACCACACTTGACACGTTCTTGTTTATATCTCGATACACGTGAACGAAAATTTATTTATTTTACTCTACGATTTGTTGAAACGAGACATCAAGGAATGACGAGTAACCGGGAAAAAATGAAAGGGCACACAGACGCTACTTGTGTAGCTATCTTTATCAGCGTTTCGTTGAATGGTTTTGATGCTGTTATCATACCATGTCTAAGAACGTTGACACCGTATGCATATTTTAGTATCGCCTGGACAGCAGATTATTTTTGTGCAACTCTTACTTTGATTTTTATGAAATTCCAACATACTAAACATAGATTTATAAATAAGTAAAATTTGCAGAACAAGAAAGGCGATGCTTTCTCGTTACCTCTAATGAACTCATTACAACACTGCCCGATTCCCCTCTGATTCCAGCCATCCACAGTCTTTTGTAGTTCGCTAATCTTTTCTAACGCCGCCTGCTTCCTCGCTCTACTCTGCATTCGCAAACCCATGTCCTTCTTCGGTAAACTCGCCACAGACTGCAGTAGTTCCATTTGCAGCGGTCTCAATAAACCTTGTACCTGTTCCAGAGTCTCGCCATCCTCTATGTTAGGTGTGCGTTTGTGTAGAACCTGCGGTTTTTTTTTTTTTCCCAAGAACAGAAAAACAAATGAAGGGGACACATAGAAAATGTGTAGATGAAGAAATTATAAGATCGAATGTAAGAGACGGGTACCTTGATGTAATCAAAATACAGGAAACAATGCCACACGGGTTGCAACAAAAGTTTTGGTAAATAATATTTCACGGCTTCTCTAAAACCGTGGCCTGCTCCTCGTAGAGACGCATTAACTTCTGGTCGTGACAATAAATTCGCTAAAACCTCTCGACTAGCGGGACTATTAATGTCTCTCGCATACCTAGCAATATAGTATGATCAATAAGAATTTTTCTTCTTGCACACATGTACACATAATTCATACAGGGTGCCTGACGACAAGTAAAAGAACGTTCGTGTGCATTGCGCTCGAAATTTCAACATGCTAGCTTGCAAAGTAGTAGAGAGGACCTTTGCTTTCAATTTGATCTGATCTACATGGATATTTTCCCATTTTATCATCTGGCACTTTGTGTATTCGTAGGACTTTATGCATACTTTATGTAAACGTCGAATTCCGCTGCTTCTGCTAATTCCTCAAAGCACGAGCCGACTGTAGGTGTTTGCTGCTCTTCCGTAATTTCCATTATATCTTCTAAACTGCCGAGCAGTGTCACAGTGACTTCATAAATATCTATAATATTACTGAAGATTGTTTCGAGGTCGCTCTTATCTTGCGTCAACTTTGCGATCTCTTTGCGAAATACCTGGAGATGAAAGTTAATCCTTTTTTTTTCTAATCTGTTTGTTAACGAAATTGCTTTATTTCAGCGTCGTCGATGCATTTACCTTGATGATCATGTGCAGATCACGAATGTAATGACGTTCATCGTGAATGAGATCTCGAGCAAATTCTTCGTAAGTCTGCGAAACGACCGCGCCCAAGCTACTTTGCGGACCTTCCGTACAATCATCTCGATAGAACATGTCCATCAGTACCTGTCGCAAAAACGGCGCATCATGTTACAAATCGTTATTTTCATAGATTTATAGTAGTTTTCAAACATTCATATCAGAGAAGGTAGAGAGAAAGAGCAGATGAAACAATTGATAATTAGCGTGATGGCCATGCAATCTCTTATCGAGTATAACAGCGGTTATACTGCGACGGCATGCAACAAACATGAGATTAAGAGAGCAAAGAGAAACAATCGTTTAATTCCCTATATCAGTTAAGATGACTCTCTATCTCGCGCGATACTCAGATTATTGAATACATGCTTGCGGTGTGTGATTAAATAATATGGATAAAATAATAATATGCGCATATATATATATATATAATGGTATTTGTATCGCATCAGTTGAATTTAAATAATGTAATATAAGCATTCTTCAATCAATAGAAATATATTAGCAAGCACATTGTTAATTTATTAATTTGTTACAGAAGCGGCAAATTATACTTTTAGAGGAGAAACCTGTATGAAAATATAGAAAATATGACATTCATCTGGTACTTTTACATTTAAATTTATATAAGACGAGCTCTATCCTCAGATATAATCTGATTAATTGCAATATAGCAAAATAGACACATATCTCACAGCTGGATTTATCATGTGCAGTAGTTGAAAAATTATTAAGATGAAGAACAAATAAGAATTTGAAACATTTCATTTTCATAAGCTGTTGGGCATACCTTGTGTCTTCTCGCAATCATTATTCTCGCAAACATGTCCTTTCTTAACTTAGTTTAGATACTGTGTGATGTAATTAGAGGTCTTTCGCTCGTATAAGCAATATTACATCAATATACCGATTAATCTCCTAACAATATGATAAAATTATAATATATCACATGTTTCAAAAAACATTCTCAGTGATTTTTAATATAATTGGTACAAGTGATTTTTGCTGAGAAGTAATCAAGAGACATAAAACTAAATGCAATTATTTTTTTAGAGGCAAGATACAGAAATATCAAATAAGATATCGTGACAAGTTAAATTTTTTTTCAATGCAATCACGAGTACGTACCACCTAGAACAGCATGAGCGAAGAATGAACATGGTTAGAGTTGTTATATATTAATGGTAAGCATGTAATCAAGCACAAGAATATATGCAGCCACAATTAGCCTGTGACTAGCCTAGTATAGCCAATTCCGAAATTTATTATTGCACCTGTTGCTAGTAGTAGATGCTTGAAATTATGAATTATGAAATAATTTACACGATCTTCACTGTCTATGATCAAACTAATAATAACTGCAGAAACAGCAATTTTTTACATAAATTACAAACAATAGAATAAACGATATAACTCGGATCTACACTGACCAAGCACACTATTACTAGCAAGGTAATGTATTTCCCTGCTGATATACTGTCTAATACGATGTAATACCACTCGTGTTAATCATTTCCTACACAAGCTTTTTAACCTATGTACTATTATACCCGAAGATATTTTACAAATAAGACTGATCTGAACTATTACAGTGTTGTATAAAGCTATTTTATCAATATTTTTCAGTCAATTAGTCATTTTATCAGTATATTGAAAGTTTGTAAAATTATCGGGCCCCTTTGTGAAAATACAATCTGTGACTTGAGCATGAAACAATTGACTCCAAGAATTCACTCAAATCAGTCTCATGGTCTGTTCTTTTCTTCTGCACCGCTACACCAGTGCAATAAGTTAAAGCGAGACAAATATATATATATATTGTTTCACTCGAACTTATGGCACTAGTGCAACGGTGCAGAGGAAAAGAACAGACCTATTGAATGAAAGTGATAAATGAATGTAGAGTGTATGTCGGTTGATTGAGGTGCAATACAGAAATCGAACACAGTTTTTCTAGATTTTCACGAATATATCGCCTTACCATATCTGCGTACATCGCGACCCGTATGTCCTCGCACGAAATCTCGACATGTCGAATATTCTTCACATAATTTCCAGCTAGCTGAAAAGAGAGTATCCTTAAATATTTTGCGACGACTTGTAGAGGCGAAAATACAACGAGCATGTTGACATCGGGCAGTTCAACACTTTGAAACAACACAAAGGGTGGTACCAACCTTCAGAATATCTGCAGAAATATATTCCAAAACTCCGACTACGAATAGACTAACTTGCGAATCGATTTTGTGCTGTAATACTTCCTGTTGAAGGAAAAAGCAACATATATATAATACTCATATCACTCTGATACTGAATCTCTCAGCTGTGAAAAATGAATCCGTAGCTAGTACACACACGAATGTGCTGACATTTATTGAGAGTTCAATGTATGTACTTTTTGTAATAACTGATGAATCTTGTCAACTGGTAGAACTAACGGTGACTTTTTCTTCCCCTTTTCCAGTGCATCTTTGGCATCGCGAAGTGCCCATTTATCAATAGGAGTAGGAAACGTGCGTCTCACTCTTTCTTCTACATCCTGATGGGTGTGAGGAGGTGGGTGTCCGCAAAGCATGGCCAACATTCTTAAGATTAAGCTCTCCACATAGTCTAAGGCATCTTGTCGAGCTTGGAGACTAGGATGTACTTGCTCTAGTACCTATAAAATCGTTCATATCCTTTGACTTGACACGCAAGTACTCATATGGTATCGCGTATGGGGGCGCGCATATGGTATGTTATCGCGACAGTTTCTAATAACCAAAGTATCGTATTGACAATGCGGCAAGAGTACTTTTACCACTATTGACAATACTCTTTTAGACTGATACGAATTCTTTGCCCGAGCTGACAATAGGATAAGTCCGGGTACGCGAACAGAGACACAAAAGAGAGAGAGAGAGAGAGAGAGAGAGAGAGAGAGAGAGAGAGAGAGAAAGAGAGAGCGATTAAAGGACGTTCGTATGTTCGTATCCGTCAAATATTGACAAGAGAGGCGTTTGAAAAATCATATAGCGTATCGCGCGCGCGAGATGATGACGTCGGTCGGTGTCGTTGATCGATCCAGCCTCGACGTAAGATCGCTGGGACGAAAAATGATCGAGCGTTCGAGCGAACAAAAAGTGAGGAGAGGCGGGGGTGAGAGGGTGGAGGGGATAGAACGGGATAGTAGAGGACACGAGAGCGAAATAGAAGAAAGGGAAAAACAAGGAGGGTGGGCAAGAGAGGGAGGGAAAAGAGGAGAGGAGAGGAGAGGAGAGAGAAAGAGAGAGAGAGAGAGAGTGAGGGAGAAAGACAGAGAGAGAGAGAGAGAGAGAGAGAGAGACTCGGCGAGTAAGAGCAGAGAAATAAAGCGGCGAAAGAAGAATCGAGGGATAAGGGGATTCACCTTGCGCAAGGAGTTGACAAATACTCCCTTCCACTTGGCAGCATTCTCCTCTTTCTGAAAATCGTAGCCCGATGGCTCGCCCACCACCGACGCCGGCGAGGCGAACATCTCACCGTGCTCGAGTACCACACATACACACACACGTACACACACACATACACGCACGCACACGCGCTAAAGCACTACTTAGAAGACGCGCCACGAAGATTTCGTGTCACTTCCAAATAGCATCGTCAAGAGTCACTAAAGCTTGGCAGGGTCGTCTGTTTCTCAGAGTGCGGACATCTCCGTCTAACATTAGCAGCTCGATGCACGATACGACAGCGACAGCGACAGCGATGACGACGACGACGACGACGACGACGACGACGACGACGACAGCTAAGCAGCCACTCTGGATTGTACCTTGGCGCTGCGCCTCGCGCACCACACGCTCGTCATCGCTGGCAGCGTCTCCGTGTCCGTGTCCGAGGCCGAGGCCGTGCCGAGAGTCCGAGTGCCTCGGCACTGGTGCATCTTACACGCCCTTTATTCGTAATTTTTGCCAGAGCTACCGCAACAAGCACCAGTTACATTACCAACAGCTACCATTGCGCCACTCTCGCCTCGCGCGAGCATTCGCCTCGCCTCATCTCGTCTCGTCTCGCCCCGCCTCGTCTCGCCCCGCCTTGCCTCGCCTTGTCTCGTCCCGCCTCGCCTCGCCGCACCTTGCCTTGCCTTGCCTTGCTTCGCTTCGCCGTTGCTGCTGCTGCTGCTGCCACTGCACCCTCCTCGTCCCGCTTCGTCCCGCCTTGTCGTCGCTCGACGCGCCACTCCTCCGTGTTCGTTCGATCGATAACACGAATACGCGATATCGTGTTGGCCGCCGCTACGCGAAATCGAGATCGTAGCTTTCGTAAGATCGATTCTCTCTCGGGGTACGATCGACCAACCGCGAAATCGACTACCGCCACGACCTCGAGATCTCGAAGTTTGAATTCCTCTTGCATCATGGCGGCACGAAGATGCAACAACGGCTCGGCGATCGCTCTGGACTACATTCCAATATTCTATTCTACGGAATCAAAGGTAATAAAAAAAGCGTACATCTTTGAGTAAATTGTAATGTCCGAGAAATTTTGAACGGAAAAAGTAAGCTCTGTATGCCTATACGAAGTCACACTGAATCACGACGCGTAGATTAACCTAACTGAGTAACGTGCAGAATTAATTGAGATGAAATCAAGAAACTGCGTTAATGGTGATGGCGATATATGGCGATATAAAAAATTATATTTGAATATCTTTGCAAAAGAGAGGGAGGGGAATGGGAGGGAGACAGACGCATACACACACACACAGAGAGAGAGAGAGAGAGAGAGAGAGAGAGAGAGAGAGAGAGAGAGAGAGAGAGAGAGAATAATCTGATGGCATCAAATATCAAAGCTACTATGTCGATTTGTGTTGTGAAACATTCTTATTTGCACGTGTATCGTCGAAATTAAGATTATTTAATAGAAAGTTTCTAATTGGTACACATATTAAATAACCTGTTTAAACTAAATCATACTTTTCACAAATCCGTGCTTTTACCTTACGATTTACTTATCCCGGAAACTCATTGACTTTATTTTCGTTTACTTACTTTCATGTCGGCACACGTAAACTTTGTTCATATAATAATTCATATAATAGTAAAAGTTTTGAAACGGTAATAAATGAATTCCGTTACTCGAAGGAGTAGCGTTTTAGAACGCATTTAACGTCAAAGTCTACTTGGCGGAAAGTCAAATGGTGCGTTGAGCGTTGACTGAAAATCATTCACACGTTTCTGTAGGTCGATTTGACAGCTGAAAGGACATTCGGCGATCCTGCTCGAGGGATGTTGTGTCCGTCTCATCGACGAAGAATACATCGCACATATTTTGCGGAACATTCGTCTTTCGGAGCATTCGGCCGCATGGAAGTCCACTCACAGGATCGATAAGTACGCCAAGATTGTCATTAGTTTTACTTTTTTCTTTTAATTACAGTATTTCCTTACATCTACAGACGCACCGTGTGGTCCGTTTCGTGTAGTTTAGTTGCTAAACCTAAACATGGTAATCTAAACGGTCGCGCCTCAAGCAAGAGCACGAGCAGGCGCGTTGACGCACTTCGAAACGTGTCGCGTGTGATATGATGTGAAGGTTTGACAATAAATACTTCTCGTGCGGTTCATTGTGAACATCGTTCATGAGTAACAATAGTTGTGTAGACTTTGAGCTTGCTCGAAGCGCGAATGTATAATTGGGTGAGAAAGCGAGGAGAAGAGAGACAAACGAATATTGTCTGTACGCGACGCTTATATACCCGTTTCAATGTTCAAGTCAAATGTGCGCCTGTATTTTTATGATTACCGTTAAGTGTTCTGAAGGAACGTTCTCATCTTCTCACCTTCTCACGTTCTCACGGAAATAAATATATATATATATATATCTGACTAAATGCGGTCTTGTGATTTCAGTTTTGGCGGAGTCTTCAGCAGACGCGCACACATGAGGTTCGTCGGCAGTTGTCACCAAGCGACAGAAATCCCGGCTGCGACACTCGAGTTAGTCGACGTGGTAACGTGAGTACACGTATTAATATTAATATACTTTGCAGAATGTTCGATAAGAATTGGAAAATCATTGTTGTTATCGGGAGGAGTGTTGGAGAATCATTCGTTAACGCGTCGGTAATGATGACTGCGTGATTCGTCGTCGAGTACGCGAATTAAGACCAAGATTCATCACATTCGCTGAATTTACCAACTTGCTGGTAATTGCCAATGGATTTATTTGAATGTATATGCGACATTCTCTGCGGACATTCTTAGTCCCTAACCGTGTCTTGTCACGTATTCGTTGTTCGAACATTTTTCGTTTCACACCCTCGAGCGAAAGTGTCCTCGCTGTCGCGCGCAAGATTCCCAACCCCCGTGCTGTATTGTAATAAAGTCCATCTTTCCGTCGGCCACGCGCCGGCCGACGGTTCACGGTTTAGTAAACGATCTTTCGGCTGAGTCAGCTGCAAGCACAAATGCGTACAAAGTTAAACATCGTTAACGCACAACGATTAGTACGGTTAATCATTTGTAGATAAATCTATCGGATTTTTCGCGCGACCCGAACTTTATTATTAGGCTTCACGGCACGCATTACCATATCGAACGCACATGCCCCGGCACGAGGAGGATTTTTCAATTTCAAAGTACACTGGCAAGAGAGAGAGAGAGAGAGAGAGAGAGATATGGCGGAGGAAAAAAGAAAGAAAGAAAGAGACAGAGAAAAAGGGGGAGAGAGATAGCGATCACGTTTGCAGTTTCTTGAGCAGGCACGCGATCGCTGTAGCGCGGCGATTCGTCGTTACATGTAAATATTTTTTTAAGCGGGATTGCGCATTCTAATGAGGCTCACAATCGTCACGGCTGATTATGTCTCTTGATCCAAATCGAAATAAATTGCGAAAGCTCGTCTCGGACGACGATAACCGGATCGGTCGCCGGCTAAGCGACGGAGCGACGAACGATGAATGGACAGACGGACGGACGGACGGACGGATGGGTGCCGTGAAGAGGATCGGGTCCGGCAGCCTCCGCTCCGAGTATTTATCAGCGCTGATACAGCGATCGCCTTGCGTCACTTTCCGTGTAGATTTACACGAACATCCGCGAATTTACGACCTACGCAATTGCGTATTTATCGATGCGCGGCGCAAAGCGGCGCGACACGAAGCGGCGGGAAAAATGCCTGCAGCGGGTGCAAAGTTGGTTACAGATATGCCGCGCTGCTCTCTCGACGGTGCCCTTGAACGTTCCTCCGCGGCACGCGGCGAATTTTTACCGACGCACTCGAGGAAGGAAGATACTTCGTGTACGCGTGAAGAAAGAACTTCACGCGAACGCGACGGCGACGGCGACGACGAGGCTGACGAGCGCTTACCTAACGAGCGGTGTTATGGGCGCCGCGCTCACATCCCCGCGTCATGATTTAATTTGCGAGGCGATGCTGATGAGCGACAATCGGCAGCGGTCTTGGGAAGCTCCTCTTCAGCCTCCTCGTAATGGCGCGTCTTCGGCGACCACTGAAACACACCGTCGATTACGTTGGTGATGAGTTGTTATACCCGTTACTGCCAACGTCGATGAGAGCTCTAGCTGAGTGTTCCAAGTCACCTCGGACAAGGACTTGAACTCACAGCTTAAAAGTCGATCGACACCGGCGAACGAAACGAGCATCGGTTGGATTGGCGCAAAAGTCGTCGGGGAGGAAAGATACGTTATCGACGGTTATCGCCGTCGAGATAAACTTTCTCTCGGCGAAAGTAGCCTACCCTTACATTGCCATAGGGTCCAGTTTCTTGTATCTCATTTGCGACAGCATGTTGCTCACCAGCGACAGGGTTATTAGCGTCTCCAGCTCGGCTAGTCTATGATCCGACTGTCGTTTTTGTCGTCTGTGGAGATACAAGTCGAATTGGAGTATTGCGGTGTTACTTTCAGCAAGCGCGATCGCTCGCGTTTTATCGATTTTCTTTTCTTCATATTTTTTTCGCTTTCGCTCCGAGTCCGAGTTCCGGTGCGACTTACGATTTCTCGGGGACCAATGCGCTTTCGCGTCGTACGTATGGCGACGCGACGATCGCTACTTTCTTCTGCTCGGCGTCCGAGGAAGTCGCTGGCTTCGAGTCACGTACAGGCAGTGCCTTTGAGGCCGATCTGTGTAGCAAATTACTAAGCGTGAGAGAGAAAGAGAGACGTCGTTTATTGAACGCTATTGGCTGATATATCACGCGCCAAGTTCATCGAAACAGTGGAGAGGCAAAATGCCGGCTTTTGTTTTTCTTTCGGTTGGAAAAATCGGCACTTATTTCTGTACGATGTTTCTGTTTTCATTGAGATAAGAGAGATATGTTTTTAACATTGCTAATTTTGCCTAATGTTTCTGACGTAATACATAAGAAGTTTTACGTAAGTATGCTCGCAGAAACGAAAGCGATATCGAAGTATCGATCTCGGTCGGTTTCTCAACGCGATCATACGTTACCGCGCTAGTTGAAAGTTGCATGTCAGCGATATATATATATATAATTTTCACGCATCTTATTATATATCATATTGCATACACACACACACACATGCATATATTAAATAAAAGTACGTGTAATTACCCGCTGTGGTCGATCGCAGGAAGTCCGCAGGTGAATATAGGCAGTGCGAGTGCCACGAGGATGCAGATCGCCATTATTGACGGACGCGTCATCGCGTTTACGCGCGGAGGAGCGCTGCGAATATATTTATGTATATATTTTTCCTCGTCACTTCGAAAAGTTCGCGAAGGGCGGGATAAATAGAAGGAGTTTTCGAGCGATTTCACAGAACACGTATCGATACGATCTCGAGAAAGATGCTCGCGTGTTCGTTGTGTTTAAACTATAAAGTCGCAGCGACGATCTCACCATATATATATATATATGTGGGGACGGTATATTGCCCCCACTATCGAAGCAAGACGCTTCTGCATATATTGCCCTCTTTTTGTCGCTTCCACCCGCCAGCAGATAACGCACATTTGCACGATGAAACGATGAAGTGATTTTCGGAAGTGCCGCTCCTCGCGATTTCATCCCGACGTCCCGATCGTCCTGCGAGGGCGAGCGATTTACAGTAACAGCTGCGGAACAACTCGGAAAGAACGACGCGACGTGTGTATTTATAAAAATACGACAACACGATTGACAATATTGCCTTGTACTTGTTACATATACTTCTAGAAAAATGATGAAATTAAGGGAATTTTATTTGGATCCCAGGTGTCATGTAGCGAAGGTAATACGCGCGTGGGAGTGCATTTTTTTCATTTCACTTATTTATTCGTTTATATTTCAACAATGAATCATACATACGGACTCGCAACACTTACATCTGTTCGTGTTTATAAATATACGTAGTGTGAGACGCGTGAGATCGCACGAATGAAAAGCGCATGTTAATGATAATTCGTCGGAAAGCGCGCGTAAAAAGCGAGTCGAAGATCCGAGAATCATTCGCGTCAGAACGAGACGTTTCCGATACAACGATTTTTCCGACGCCATTCCATCGAAGGATTCTTAAGACGATGCCGCGATAAGCCGAGGAGAATTCCATACGTAATATACAGCGAAATTTGTCCTCGACTGTTCGTCGCTGATGCTCTCTCTCTCTCTCTCTCTCTCTCTCTCTCTCTCTCTCTCTCTCTCTCTCGCGCGCGCGCGCGCTTTCTCTCTTTCTCTCTGTCTGAACTCGTTACGCTCTCAGCGTGACGAGATTCGTCGTCGCCGCTAAAGCGACAAGATAGGAGAGAAAAGTCGCGTGTAATCGCGCTCTTCCATTTTTTCATGTCTCGCCACGAGTTTTCTTCCTCTTTCTCTTTGTCTTCTCTCTTTCTTTTTTCCATTCGCAATGAATAATGCACCCTCGCGATATATCACCCTTGACTGACGCGTTCATACCATTTTCTGCGTGGAATACCCTACGTTCTCTGCGCAATGATACACGATCGCTGATGTGTTTCCACGCTGGCCAAACCTGCGGAGTGATCGCAGCAATTTTCCAGCCGGATTCCTGTTACGTCATACCCCGTGTCACACGCAAGATTTATCCCTTTTGTCTGGTCTCTCCGTCACTCTCTCTCTCTCTCTCTCTCTCTCTCTCTCTCTCTCTCTCTCTCTCTCTCTCTCTCTCTCTCTCTCTCTCTCTCTCTCCTTCTCTTTCTGCCTCGGATAAAAGGCGAGCGGTGAATTAAGGTACGAATCCACTCGTTTGCGCCATTGATCCGGCCGAGCGCAAGCACGAAGACGACGAGAAGGAAAATTTCTGCTGAGGAAATGTGCGAATTTTCCTTTCTTCTCGCGCGCGCAAAAGAAGGGGACGTTATTCGGCGGAATACAATACCGTCCGAACTAAACACGCTAACGAAACTCGCATACTAAATATAATACGGTTATCTCGGTGTATAAAGATACACGTATGAAGATAAGAGTGTTTCCGTTGCATCTTCACGCATTATCACCTCCTTATCCGAATTGCAATTGTGAAATTCGTTGCAGTCGCCTCACGACGGAGCCTCACGGTTTTCGTGTTTCTCCTCCGATCACGCGTTGGATCACGAATTTCGCAATGGCGCTTGAGATCCGCGTTGTCATCGTCGTCATCGTTGTAAAAGTGCGAGCTGGACCTTATACTCGTAATTTTTTTCCCGTTACTTCCGGTTCTACTATGCATTTCGATCGCGAAACTTTATCGCGCGTCGTACGCGGAAGCGAGACATCGCGTCGCGTCCGACTCGTTCGCGCGATAAAGTTCACGCCATCGAGTTTTCCTCCTTCTGCGTAAGGCTGCGAATGTGCAATGGACGCAATTGTGGTCGTCCCGTAAGGGGAAAAGCCTTTCCCCGGGGGAAAGAGAGATCGCGCGGAAAAGATACTCGCGAATTTCGCGTAATTGATCTTCTCACAAGCGCCGTTCAATTGCGACGCGAGTTTTCAGTCGCGCACGCTTCGCGCGTTATCTCGATCGTCGTTTGGCAATTTGTCGTTTGGAAAAGTGATTGCGCCAACGTCGCAGCTGGTGTTTTTGTTTTGCGGGGGACTCCTTGCAAAAGACGTAAACGGCAGAAAAAAGACGCACATCGCGACGATACGTCTTCGTGCCACGCGCGATTCTCGCGTTGCGAAACTCGCGGGTCGATGTCGCGTTGCCCACGCAGAAATTCGTCGGGCGACGTCGCGTCGTATTGAACAACCGCGTGGACCACGTAGACGAAAATTCAAGTCGCCTCGTCGCGACGAAACCGCGTGTTTCATTCACATGACGAAGCGCGATTACGATTACGATTCAATTACGACACACGCGCCCGATATCGCGTATTTACTATTTACATTCTGGTCTTCATGCTTCGCCGGTCTCAAACACCCCGCGTCCAGTTACCGCGATATCGAGCAGCTCCGGAGGGGAAAGTGTCGAAAAGTCGATGGTCGAAAATCGATCGGTCGGCCGAAAATCGCTCGGGGAGTTCCCGCGCGCTCGTCCGAGAGTTCGCCGAACGAGCGCGAGCGAAACACCGCCCGTCCCGGCGCGATCGATTCGTTTGATTTTTCCGACACGTGTGCGCGAAAAATGCGCCTGTTCTCGTGTCCACTTAGACGTGAGTAGTACAAAGTACCATCGGTCCGACGGCTCGCGTCGCGCACGCGAATATCCGCGCGCGTCGGAGATTTATACGAGCGCAACTCGACGATGATCCATCGTGAGACACGTGCGTGCACAAAACTGACATTTTTTTATTTTGACGCTTTCGGGAAAGCAGAGAAAGGTAGCCAGGGACGAGCCACACTAGGAAAAAAAATTTATAGTATCTCTAACAAAACTGTTCAGTCGAAGCATTTTTTAATAGCAACCAAATATCTTGTTTTATATAATAAAATACTTGGTTGTCTCAACTAAATATATTTTTCTGCTTTGTTCTCCGGACCAAATGATTTTGTCCTTAGATTTCATATGTAAAAATTAAGCATTTTAGTTATTTTATCCATAAAAATTACATAATAACGAAATATTATTTTACATAAACTAAACTAATGCCCAATGGATATTATTTTGTCTTTCTGTGCACTAAAATTTAGATTTTATATATTGAGAAAAAATTATAGTATTTTTAACAAAATCCATATGGTTAAAGCTTTTTGGTTGCTATAACAAAGGTATTACGTTATATGGACAAACCGTAATCAAACAAGATATTTGTTTACAGGAACCAAACAGTTTTGTTGGGCATATTTTAACCAAATTATTTTGTTGTTACAACAAAATTTTGGTTCACGCAACAATACATTCTTCCTAGTGCACGCTCGTCGCCGAAAAATTACACGGCTGGGGTGCTGAAAAGTAGTTAATTTCACCAATATCGCGGCCATTTCCTTTTGCCATTCTAACGAGCTAGTGGCGATGGAAACATATGCATACAGTGCTATTATAGTTGACATTGTAACAGCTGGTAAAATCCCATCCCAGATCAATCCCAGGATACCGTAATTATTTAGCCGTGCCATCGCACATTCGCGAGTCCTCGCGAATGTTTGCGGCTGAGAAGCGAACAAAGGGGCCTCGGCCTCATTCGGCGACGTTCAGTGTTCGTTTTAATGAGCGAACGTCGAGTGCGAAGACACGCGTCTTGACATCACGAAACTTCGCGCTCGTGCACGATGGAAGAATCCTGTATTTACCGACGAAAGAATATGATTCCGTTGTGTTCCGTTCTCCTTGCAGAGGGAGTTGTAATCTAATTTTTCACATAATTGGATTATGTAATTTCGACGACGACGTTTCATTTCGGCCGTTCCACGCGTGCACTCGTCGTCCAATCGATTTTCGCAATCTCCAAATTCAAAATTCGGTCGTCGCTGTTGCGACTTTCATCTGCCGTCGCGTCGAGAATTCGTCTCCTTCGATCGGATAAAGCCAGATTTTCGCGCGACAAAGATCTCCGCTAATCCGCGGATTAAAGTGATTCGCGAGAGTGGATTACACACACTCGAGCAGGTAATTGCGAGTAATCGGTGTCGATACGCTCGAGATACGATATCGAGTCGTGCGATATGGAGAAATGACGAGCAGGAAGCGCGAGGCGAAAGACAAAAGAAGAGATTATGCACGAATAATCGATTACCACATTTTATTGCATTCGTAATAGCATATACATCAGTTTGTTGAAGGTAATTCGACGACGATTCGGCACACGATCGGTTTGTATGCATGAGAAGGAAAGAAAAAAATGTCGATGCTTTTCGGTACGCAGAGAGTGGCAGAGGGAAGGAGAGAGAAAGAGAACCTCTCCGCCGCTCCGCCGCTCGATTCACAAAAGCGCAGACTCGCAGTCTCGCGCGGTCGTGGGGGATAATAAATAAATAAATAAACAATAAATAGGTAAACAAATAAATATGCAAATAAATAAATAAATAAATAAACAATAGGCATTAAAAAGGACATTAAGTAGTAAATAGTATCGAGGAACGTAGGCTCTCGCGGCCTGATTAATACTAACAATAGCGACTCACGCTCACAAAACGCTCTCCAGCAACGCACCGAATTAATTTCTGCGCGTCATGCCTTAGATAAATAAATAAATAAATGCAAGTCGCGCTACCGCGGCAATCGAATCGGACGATCCACCGAGACGTGGGAGTCCTGCCGAGAGAGACGCTGTCTCTCGGTGGACAGTTGGCGGTGTGAATCCCGCTGACGACGAACGGGCGACTCTCAACGTCCGCCGTGAATCCCCGTCTCTCTCTCTCTCTCTCTCGCATTAACATCGCGGGTAGCGGTACACACTAAATAAAAATTGCAACACGTAATACACGGCCGAGCCCGGAATGCAACGCGTGACGCGCGTCGCCCTCGGCGTCGCTGCGTCCTGAAATCTTGGTCCTTTACGCTCGGAAGATGCGCGCGTGAAAATGAAAATTCGCATTCTGCTGACGGAAAAATGCTGACTGAAGAACACGCCACTTATGCGACTGACGCAAATCCGTTGCGCACGAAGAGGCGGCGCGAAGCGAGCGGGGGAAAATTCGCGGAATTTCCGCGGGAGATCATCTGTTTATCATCTCGCACCGTTAATTTGCCAATATCTCTCTTGCAGCATGAGGCGTGATGTTATCCGCGTTCGTTTCCTCTTCGCACGCGAACAAGCAAATTTGCAAAGCGCGCGCACCCGTAAGGTTTGCCGAATCATCTCACTGGGAGGGAGGGGAAACGCAATATCGCGACGCTGCACCTTAACGAGAGAGCCTCCTCGCTCGCTTCGTCGGCTGTTCGGCCGTTTGAGGGATCAGCCGAAAAATTAGTCGCAATCACGGAGGTCAGACTCGGGGTTAATGAACGGCGAGTAAATAAAAGCGCTCGCGACGCGTCTCGAAATCGTCGCCCCGTGAGAGAAGAACCCGCGACTTGGCGGAACGACGATGAAAGCTCCGTCGCGCGTTTTCGCCCCTCCCCCCCTCCTCCCTTCTCACATTTTTTCTCTCTTGAAAGGAAGACAGCGAGAAGGTGCAAGAGAGAGGGGGAACAGAAAGATCGCGATCCGACATAACGATAACGATCAGTCGCCGCGATGAACGTCGAGCGATCGTGCGAATGGAATCGAAGAGATCTACAGCTACTCTAAGAGGATATCTAACGCCGCCGCGGGAGTGCATCTCGCGCGGAGATTCGACGCTATCCACGAATACTAGGGACGACTCACGTTTTCTGGAAATACTGTTCTCGTTTAAGCGGTCGAGCATACTGGAAATATGAGGGACTCGGAAGAGAAGTTCGGAGACTATCGCGCCATCCGTTCCCGGTCCGGAAGGAAACGCGTATTCTTCGCACGGTAATTCGCCGATGCCGAATTTCCGTCTCCTCCCGCCTCCTTCAGCCTCCCTCTTTCTCTCGCGCGCAGAGTTCGTTCCCCGCTCGGGGTGGATTACTTATTTTCTTAAGATCGTAAGTTCGCGAGGAAGTTGAAGCTCGGACGGAAGCTGGTCCGTAGGTAGCGCGTTGTCAACGGATCACGGATGAGAGATCAATTAAATGTGTATATGTGTGTGTGTGCGTGTGTGTGTGTGTGTGTGTGTTTTGCGTGTACGTGTATGTACGCATGTCTTCTCTAATTGTTTACTTCCTGTTTCTTCTGCTGCCTCCGTCCTTTCTGTCTCTCACCCCGCCCCGTCTTTCCTCCGTTTCTCTCTCGCCGCACTTTCCTGACTTTCGCCTCATTCTCGAGCGCCGTCGAGCTTCTGAATTAAATCAGCTGATAGTCCCTCTGCGCCTCCTGCGGATCCTCCTTCTGCAATTAGAACGAGCGGAATCGAATTAGCGCGTCGATCTGCGAGTGACAGATTCGCAGTCGCGAAGACAAGTCCTCGGCGCGGCAAGTTTCGCGACGCGTCACAGATTCGCGCGCGCTATCTCCTGTGTGTATCTCCTGTGTATCCGAGCGACTTAACGATCGATCGAACGGACGACGGAGAATATTGAAGAGACAGAGAGTAAACGACGAGCGAACGGACGAGCCGCCGCCGCGTCATGGAAGCGTTTCACGTAGCCTCTCGCGAAGAAAGAAATGACTTCGAAGGCCCCGCACGTTCGGAGAAGCCGCTAATTACTCGCCGGGGTTCATTACGTTTCACAGCATGCACCCGCGTGATGGTCCATTCAATTTTTTCTCGTCGTTCTTGAAATTATCACTCGGGTAGACCGACCGTTTAACAAATGACCGGCCTGAAAAAGCGGACCGCGGTGAGATATTCAAACTTTACGGCGAGCCTCCGGAAGCGAGACGTGTTGATAAATTACGTACGAAATAATGTTCACGCCTTCGCGTGTCAAGTGAAGTCCATGAGTGATCGAGCGAGTCGTAAATCAGTTAGTGGTAAATTATATAACGATACGGTGATGTACAGAGCAAAATAGACAGACAGGAAGAGATACATTACTAAAGAGAGAGAGAGAGAGAGAGAGAGAGAGAGAGAGAGAGAGAGAGAGAGAGAGAGAGAGAGAGAGAGAGAGAGAGCAAGAGTAGAAAAAGATAAGAGACTAAACGGCCATATCACGCAATTACTTCTGGCTTTGATTGTTTTATCTGATCAACAGCTAGTCATTAATTAATAAATGGACTAATTAATAAATGGATTAATTAATAAATGGACTTCGATAATTATGATAATGATATGCAGCTAAATGGATGAATAAGTAAATGGAGAGATTTATTTATAAAGAGGAAAAGAGAAAGAGAAGAGAAGAGGGAAAAAAGAGAGGCTGAGAACGTTTAGCGATCGTTTAATAATACTTTTAATCGCGTTACTCACCCAAGGTAAGGGACGAAATTGATCGGACTGGTCCGCGCTCAAGTCCGCGTCTCGGCCGACGATCAGTAGGAGATGCTGCAGCTTTCGAAGATCGTCCTCCGGGATGGATCTTCGCCGGCGGCCTCTGCGAAGAAAAATCAAACGGCGTCAAACAATTGACCCGCGGCTCGCGAAGTGTCGATTCGCGTTCCGCGTACGAACTCTCTTGTACGAATGAGAGAGATGCAGTAATATCAATCTCCGCGTTTGTTGCGCAACTTGAAGGAAGAATTGCGAGCGATTATTTCACTCTCTCCCCCTCTCTTTCTCTCTCTCCCCCGGCTTCTTCAGTGAATGACTCTCATTATATTTCGCGGCGGTCACGAATTGCCGTTTGCCGGAGCATCGGAAGCGTGCATGTCGGCCTTATCGCGATTTTGCACGACTTCCCGTGCGATCATGTCGCACCGTTTTACAACTAAAAAAGATAACCACGGGTGTCACGATCGCTTCGCGATTGCGATCGCAAGATCTCTCGCGAATTCGGGCACGCACGACAAAATCGGCGTCGTGCGTTTTTATCAGCCCGGATGAGCGTGGCAAGCTCGTGAATTCTAATAAGTGTGGCAATATCTAGCGCATGATTAGTTTATTGAGGTCTTAATTAATCGCCACGCGCCGATAACGCCGTCATCGCTCGCCGTCGACGTTGCGATACGCAATAAGAATTATGTTTCACGCAACAACGGATAATTATTGCGAGCGCGATATTGAGTCACTTCGCTCCTCCATCCCGCGTATCGAGGTCGCATTTCTGCGAAATTGCCGATGAATTTACAGTTACGAAGGAAGAAAAGAGAGCGAGATATAAATTCGACGTAACGAATCGCCTCGATCGTTCAAATTCCGATACGCATTCCGCGCAATCCCCAATGGCCGACAGCCTAATAAGGGCTCAAGCGACGTTCACAGTTAGTGCTCATATTTTCGCCGCTCGTGTTCGCAAAGCCTCGACATCTCGTGTCATTTTTTCGCGTCTTCTTTCGTCGTCCCTGAGACCCGAGAGAGAGAGAGAGAGAGAGGGAGGGACCTGTTGATCCACATGAATCATTTCGATCTCCGGCTTTTCTTTGTCCGCGGTCGATATGAGATCGCTGTTGAAACGAGAGCTCACGTGGGACGAAGAGATGGCAACGCCTACGCGATTCTTTCACGTGGTTTCTCGCAGATGTCGGAGCAACTTCAGAATTGCCTGCGACAAATCAGAATCTCTCCGGCACGCGCCCGACGCGTCGTGTCGCGTCGCGTCGTTTCATTGTGCGTTTCATACGCTCCTACGCGCTTGCGTCTGTGCTATTCTCGAATATATCTCGATCGCGACATATACACACGCGCGATTACACAATAGCGTAACATCACTTACGCAACAATCCGTCGTGGGAGTGACCGAAAGAGCGGGCCTCGAGCGGCGCTGCTTATCTATCATCGGGCGACGCATATATGTGCGTACAACTATATATATATATATATATATATATGGCGCACAATTACGCTGCGATATTTATGCGCCTGCCGTTAATTGCACGCGCGACACCGACACCGTAAACCGATGTTCATTAATTTATTCGTCGCGGCAGCGAGAGGAGCCATCACATCGCGCGCCGCGCCTCACCGGACTCCTTTTCAGAGAACCACGCCGGTAAGAACATCTGAATAGAAATTTACTCGCGCGGCATTTTCAACGAGGATAAGGAAAGGCGGAGACGAAGAAAGGAAGGGAAAAAAGAAAGAGGGAGAGAGAGAGAGAGAGAGAGAAAGCGATAAATAACCTAGTTAGAGGCAGCATTACCGTTCGCCGTCGCTTTTCTTCCTTCTCTTCGTCGCCCCCCTCCGTGTTTCTTTTCCGTTTCGATCGCATGTCTTATTCTTTCCATCGGCTGGGATAAATTGCAATTATGTTATTCGATGAGTATCGCGGCCGAACGCTTGCGAATGTAAATGCGACGTAAAGTATTCGCCGACGCCTCGTGCGCGATCGCTCCATTTTTTCTCGTCGTTTTCTCTTTCCGCCCCGTTTCCCCTCGTACCTCCTCCCTTCGCCCCCCCCCTCTCTCTCTCTCTCTCTCTCTGTCTTTTTTTCTTTTCTCTTTTCCACTTGAAAATCGATAGAGTTCGCGCGAGAGCGTACGTCGATGTCGTCGAGAAGCGGGATTGAATTACTATTAATTGTGCAGAAATTCCAGAGCCTCTCGCGCCTCGTTGTATTACTCGCCGTGAGGTCAGGCAAATTATTTCACCAGAGAGCGACGCCGAGTAGACTCGAAACGCCATTCATTCCGCGCCGCATCAGCATTAATTTCTCATTGCGCCAAGTTGCGCGAGTTCCTCTCGCAAGCTCCTCTCGCACGTCGCGCGTTGACTCTTTTCCTTCCCTTTTAACTCGGTTTTTCCACCGCGCTCGTATGACCGTTCTACACGGCTGACCGAAGCTTTGAAGAAGAAGCAACAAGTGCAGCCGTGATCGATAGGGGACCTCCTCGACAAGGCTGAAGTTCCGCGTCTTCTCCCCCCCCCCCCCCCCCCTCCTCCCGACGCGGAGAATATATTTTATAATTTTCTTGCCGTGTTAGATTTTCGTTTCGCCCGGGGAAAATTCGCGTGATTTAGCGAGCATTATATCGTACTTGCGCGCGAAAGAAGGATGCCTTTTCCTATAAAGGCAGAGCCTCGCGGAATTCTTAAGGAAGAGGTATCTCTTATCGCGTCACGATACGCTTCCTCAGGGTTATTATTTAATCGCGCCCGTCACGATAATAGTGATAAAAGTCGGCGACGAATCGGCGGACCTTCGAACTACCGCGCGCCGATGCGCTTTCGCGTTCTTCCGCGAAAGTCGAGCAAGGGAATCGAGTCGACGGCGGCGGAAATTGATCGGGAGTACAATTGAAAAATCGGCGGACGAGCCGCCGGGATGATATCGAGTCGACTGAAGTAGCAGCGATAACGATAACGTTGTAAGCCGGAAGACGAACTTACAGGAGAGCCGGGTCGACTTTTCCGTATCCCACTGGGACGACGATGCCCTTCAGTCTCTGCAGCGCCAACAGTGTCTCGAGCTCGGCGAGTCTCTGATCGGACAGTCGTTTCTGCCGGCTGTAACAGAAAGCGACGAGTTGACGAATTAACGAGAGATGATTTCCTCTCAGTTCGCGAACTCGTTGTGCGAACTCGCTGCGAAAGACCGCGTTTGAGAGACGAGAGAGAGAGAGAGAGAGAGAGAGAGAGAGAGAGAGAGAGAGAGAGAGAGAGAGAGAGACATTAACGCGGTCGAGGTGATTTCGCCAATTATTTCCACGCGTATCGCGGCTTGCCGATTGCGGCTATGATCTCGCGGCGCTTTTAATATCGACACGTGCACGCGTCGCTCTTTCATAACCGCGCTAATCTCGCGAGCGTACAGAGCGACAAAGCTTCGGATACGTACGTGGGTAGAAGTCGATCGCTCTTCGTCTTGTCGATCGACATCGGTGACTATCCTCGTGCGAAGTTCTAACTTTGCAATTGACTCTTTTTTCCTCATTTTACATCGCGGACAGCGGTACTTTTTATTTCTTTTTTCGTTTAACACTCGGTATATTAAAAAAAAAAATATATATATATATATATAGTTTAACGCACTTTAATATCATGTCGTTACATGAGACAATAATATGATACATTGTTAAATCGTGTGTAACCTTAAGACCGCCGCCTTGCGTCAATTAAATCGAGCTTAGCCGCGTGAGTAAAGCATTGGACGATCGATATCGAGTATCAGCGGACCAACTGTCAATCCAAAGTCTCATTCTCCGTCTTTCTCGAACGTCGGAAGAAAACAGAGCGTTGCGATAACTCAGCTTCGATTAGCGGCACCGAAAAACGCGATTCTTTCGGCAGGAGACACGCCCGCGTGCGGCGCGTTTTTCGCAGCTCTCGCAACTGTAATATTTTCTCCGGGAAATCCTACCTGAGTAGCCAATCGGCAGGTCTGGCATACGTCGCTCCCGGCAGCAGCACGATGACCAGAACGCACAGTATCGCCGCGCCGATCGACAGTTTCATCGTCGTGCGCGCACTCGGGTCGGTTCGCGGTCGAAAGAGAAGAAAGTAACGACTGTGAAGTCACCCGGGTGGCAGGGAATAACGATTCTACGACAATGACACCGATCGTCGCACCACTTTGCCGGCTTGCGATTCCCCGAAAGTCCAGCAGCTTCTTTCTTCTCGGCGCTCCGCGGATATGTCGAGTTCTTCTTTTCACTGATATCTGATTTGATTTCGATGCTCGATCTCGCACGGTATCCTGATCCTGCTCCTCTTTCTCTTCCTCACTCTTTTTTCTCTCTCTCTCTCTCTCTCTCTCTCTCCTCTGTCTCTCTCCCTCTCTCTCTCTCTCTCTCTCTCTCTCTCTTTCTCTCTCTTGTCGCTTTTGTCTGCTGGTGAACTGTAGCGTACTCTCACTCGCATCGAGCATATATACCCCCAGCAGCGTTAGCGCCCTCCTGTATATCCCCACCTTGTCTTCTTCGGCTAGATCGCCCCACTCGTTGACGCGGGACCACCCTCGCTCTCTATGCGACGCTACCTGCCCTCCGAGAGCGTTTCCTCTCGTAGATTCGCGAATGGACGCAGACGACCACTCGTTGCTCCTTTCTCGTCACATTTCCGCCGTGCTGTCGCGCGGTGCGTCACTCTCTCGGATTCGAGTGTCGCCTCGTGCACGTGGTGGCGTCTCTCTCATCGTCGAGCGAGCGCCGCTCTTTCTCCTCGTCGACCGAGCGAGCACATCAGGTCCGAGAGCCTTCGACTTTCGTCGATCGTCGGCCGACTGCCCAAGAATTCGGCAACCGGCGATCATCGCGAGGTCTCGCCGCGCTGGCGGGAATACAATCGGACAAATGAATTGTCCAATTTTTGCGCCGCCGCACAGAGCCGCGTCACTTAAACGCGGTGTTCTTAAACTGGCCGGACCCACGGATTATCCAACTTGAGGCAATATCTCGACTTGGAAACTAATTACGACGTCGTCGTACTTAGTAACTTAAATCACCTCCTTTGTAATATGCAAATTGGTAATATCATAGCGATACCGCGAGCTTATCTCAATACAGACGTACCTCCGTCATCGAACTCGGCGCGACGGGAGGGGGAGGGACAAAGGTCCCGCTTTTCAGGACTCTTTTCAAGCGGACTCGCGAGCCTCCTCCGTTTTTCTCCGCGGACAAAGTGATATTTTATTTTAGCGCACGGCATGCACACGAGCAGCTGAGTAACGGAGCGGATTGATAAAGGCGGACCTGCGCTATCTTGCGAGAAAACAATCGTGCGAGAAATCGTGACGATGCGTTCAATGACGGAGCCGAAGTCGTTCCCCCGATCGTTATCCGTTTCGTTATCCGTTGTCGCGCCTTCGTCGTCTTTTGGACTCGGAGTATCCCGAGATTCATACCGACGAGAGAAAAAAAGGGAAAGAGAGAGGGAGGGGAAAGGAGGCACGTGAATAATAAAATCAGCGAGAACGCACCGATATTCGCGATGTAACATTGTGTTTTTCTCGGCCCGCCCGTGTCTGCCATCTTATCGCGCTCGCGTTGTTATTGCCAACGTCAAGATCGGCGTTGTTACGCGACGCGCCGCCGCGCCGCCGGGCCACTCGCGCGTGAAGATTGCGGGGCGCGTGTTTGTTGGTTTAATTTGCGAAAAAATGTTTTCGCCGTGGCGGAAAGAATCCGGAAGAGCGCACTCCGTGAGTAATGAGACGCGAACGGGCCAATCGTTCGGCCGGAGAAGGAAAGAGCAGAGGAACAATTGTCGGCGTGCTTACAGCGAATCGACGCGACGTCATCATCGTCGTGCGTCTGCACGCATTAATAACCTGTGATTAATCTTTCGGGAATCGACGGGGGCTTCCCGGCCGGCCAGTTCTTGCCCGGCATCTCGGGCCTCAAGTGGAACGTTGCAAATTTCTACGCGTGAATGACGAGGACGTGTATAAACATTGCACCTTGCCCGCTCGAAATCCCATTAGGCCGAGTTAACGCGAAAATTCACGCGTGCGGAACGCTTCCTCCGCGGATCGAAGCTCGAAGATCCCGAGATTACAATGAGCAAGATTTCTTACGTCGCGCGTTGCGTTTCGCCGCTGACGTAAAAGTAAACTACGTCGATAGGAAGGAAATACCTTGGGAATACCGAGAAACATGACGGCTTACGATAATTAATTCATAATCCTGTGCGGAGCTTGTTTGCAGACGCGCGTTTATCAACTAGCTGTGCCTACTTTCGATGACTGTCTCAGCTATTTTCATACCACACAATGGTGCGTTCCCGCCGATTTACGCGCGTCTCGCGCCTCGCGATTTCTAATTATCGTCGATATGTACGCGGCCACCGACTTGCGTAACATCAAACAGAACGCAACGCGATGTTACGCACTCTGAATGAGCAGGAAAGTGTTCGGAAGTGTTGGAGGGAGGAGAGAGAGAGAGAGGGAGAGAGAGAGAGAGAGAGAGAACAATGTTCACGGGTCATTTCGTCGAAATTATCATCGACACGATTTATTCTTAGCATATAAATTTAATAACTTTCGTCGCGCAAAATGTATAAATTAAATCTATTCGCTCCTGTCGGAGTGCGCGTTCGAATTTTTTCCTCTTTATCTGCTATCATTATTTTTAGCGTTTTATTATTTCTCGATGTTTTCGCAGCAATACCATTTGTTCCGAATAACCATTTTTAATCTCATATTTTTGTTATTTCTCCTTTCCGCGTCGATGCGCCGCCGGTTAAAGGTGAAATTACGTTATTTCGAGCAGAAAAACGGCACGCGCGACATCGGGGTAAATATCGGGTCGTGCGGAACGAGAGCCGCGATTCGTATTTTGTGTCACACTCATCTGGAAACATATCGCGGCGTAAATCATCGCGGTCGGGCTGCCTCGGACTGGATCGACTCACTTTTGCAACGACGAGACACGCCGTCCATCGAGAAGAGCACCCGCGATGATCGTGGAACGCGCGTCGTTCCGCTATCCAGGTTCGCCGATCAGGCGCCATACGTTGCTTTATCGATACGTCGCGAGGGAATCGCAAATACCAGTGACGCACGAATTGATATTTATGGCGCGTAACGCGCGCCAGACAATTAGTTATCGCGGACGAAAGGGAGAGAATCGCACGGCGCCTCAATTGTGCTACTATTCGTTGTCGCACTGTGCGCCGCGATATGTACACCGGCAACCTGATAATGATGTGTCAGAGAGATTAGTCACGGCTTTATCACGCTGCCATCGATCGTAAAGTGGTGCTCGAAGCCGCGACAACTGCAGCGGGCAAAAATCCATACAAGAGCGTGTTATTTCCCAGATGTGTAATTCGACGTCTATGCCTACTTGATTAATCGCGTCGCTTTCGTGCCGTTATCGACACATATGTACATACACATATATATATATATGTGTGTGTGTGTGTGTGTGTGTGTGTGTATGTGCGTATATATATCCTCGTATCTGTTTGTTTTATTGTTTGTGTTATTGTAAAAAGAGGCTCTCTCTGGTCGCCCGAAACGTCGCTTATAAACAATCTATCTGCGGCGGCGCTCCGTGACTCCGCGTTTTTTAGCTGACGTCACACGCGGAAGACCCGCAACTGTGCATGCTAAAACTGAACCTCGCTCTCTTCCGCTCTCTCCTGCTCTCTCGACATTTATTTTCTATAGAGTGATTTACGCGAGAGCACCGTTGAGGTCATATTTCTTCTCGCGCTTACGGGAAAAATGCGTGCAGGAAAAATGCTCTTCTTTTAATCGTGGGTTTCCTCACGCAACTTTTTTCCCGACCAGGATTACTAATAATTCCGATAATAATCTTTTTTTCAATTCAACGCGGAAATCTTCTATGTGAGACGCGTACAAGGTGCAAGGGTCCGAAGGTGATTCTCTTCTTCGAAGAGAAGAAGTGAAGAATCCTTCAAAGAGGGAAGTAGCGGTGAAGCAATCTCTTAATAGAAAGATACGGAGAATCTCTATAGGTAAACAATTATATCTCTATATAAACAAACGGCAAATACCAATCGCGACTGTTAGAAATATCCGCGTCCACTGTCGCCCCAAAGCTGCGGATTCTTCTCGACGTAGTAGAATCTTGTGGAGAAACGCGCGACGTTCTCGCCTTGAAATTTTTCCACCTTGTCGCCTTGTTTTGCGTCGCTGTTTCCACGCGAGTAGATTCTTCTCACTGGAAGCGGCTCTCGTTTCGAGAATAAGCGATCCAGGAATAGGTCGGCAAGAATAAGTCACTTGCCCGGGAAATAGGTGGCTTATTTTCACCGTCGACGACAATGGAAAGAAAGTCGCGCGGCCACCTGTTGCGACGCGAGTTTGTACTTTGCCCAAATACTCTCTCGTAAACATTTGTGAGACTAACGTAGCACTCTTCTTATCCGATCCCCACGACCGCATCTCTCTTATTTATTGCCGTCACAGCCAGATGGGAGCAGGTGAGCGAGATTTGAAAGATACTCACTCGCGCATTCCTCAGATTTTTCATCGTCCCGTCCAGGTTTCACGTCGACGCAAAATGTACGGCGTACTTTGAACGTCTATCTGTAATGCCTGACTTGCGATAAATACACCAAGACTTTGGCCTTCCGCTCGAAACTCTAAATTGCCGTATAATTTCCGAGATCAGAAGCGTTTTTCGCGTTATCTAAGGCTGTAATCGTTTTTCGCTTGAAGCAAGAAAGTTTCCCTCTCGCTGACGGTTTGTTCTTCAAACCATTTTCGGAAAGCACCGTCACATTGCATTCATTTTGAGACTCTATTCGGAAAAATTGACTTGGTTCCACATCTGAGATGCGTGATAAAAAACTCATCATCTTCTTTCATCACGCATGTGACGAGTTTGCTGCGTTTGCATGACGGTTAAGGTATTCCGGTAAATCGGAAATTGCGGATTGTGGACTAGCAATCAGAATTCGACGAGTTTAGTAATTTCGGTCTAGACCCTTTTATCTCGATTGATCGACGAGTCCCAGTTCGCCCATTCGCGTTTCTCGATCTGACATGGGCTGTACGCGAATCTTCGTGTGATTATTGGCCGGACGCGAATAGTTTGTCGAACAGTCAAGACGGCGACGTTAGACCCGGTAGTGTTTTATTCAACGGAATTCGCGGAAGGTCCTAAATAAAAGATGTGAAACATCATTTCGGCACTCGCGGCGGTCTGCGTACCGAAGGGCGAGCGTAGGCGTGGCGTGTGGAAGAATTCGAAAATGTTGATACCTGCGTACCGGCACGTATGCGCGCGATGATTCCCCCGCTGTGACGTTATTTCGCGCGCCGCTACATTCGCCGAATGAGAATTAATGGATA